ATGAAATGGAAATCAACTAAAATTAATTGATTGTTCTTTGTGTATCGGCCCCTGGCCAAATTAAGAAACAATGCGTGCACGCTCCCTGAAGTAATTCACACCAGACACAGGTTTCAGGTTGATGAATAAGTTGAGGAATGTTTATTCAGAGGGGACGGCAGGTCCCTTTTAAAGCAAAATTACATCATAAGCATTGTCAGAGATAACATGAAATAATACATCATTAATTGGTTAGGTGTTAAGTGGTTTCCCTAATGTTCTGCCTACTAAGGGTGGTGTCACTGAGACCATGAGGGTCTCCCCCAGATTCCAGCGCCATCTTGTTACACGAGGTAGTTAGTCGGTGTTATAGGGAGGGAGGGGTTAGAAGCGTCTAGTGGCCATTTTGTCTAAATATGTGTTAATAGCTTATGCACTGATTTCAGTTAAATTAGTAAATAGGCATTTTACTAACTAGAAAATATGTCAATATCTCATTTCCACAACAATTTAATGTTCATATGCTTGTATAATGTTTGTTTTGTGTGATGAACAAATGTGTGGGAAATAATGGTGTGCATTTACTATAGTACAAACATTTTTATTTTGCGTTTGTTTGCAAAATTTTGTTTAGTATTTGAAGATATATGTGACGAAAACGACTTACTTTGGTTCACAAACGTTAATGTTTTGGTTCAGTAGATAACTCTACCAAACACCGACCACCCCCCTGGCTCATTAAGTTCACAGAAAACCACAGGAATTAGTGCTCTCCCAGTGTGGCCGCCATTTGTGTAACCAAACAACACGTGCTGTCACGCGAAAAGAGGCAGAGGGACTTGGTCGTCGAGTGTTTGGAACTCCAAGTCGGACACTTGACTCCGCGAACACTGGTCAACTTAGCGAACATCTGCTTCTTTTCACAGGCAACCCAGGAGAGCGGTGTTTGGTAGGTTTGTTCACACAAACCCGATGAACAAATGTTACCAATGAGCCAGGGGAACCATTTGTGATTTTGTTCGGCTTGGGACTTCTGAAATTGACCGACCGCTACCCATGAAACTATGGAACTGTTTTGGGCAAGTGCCTCATGAGCGGTTGGTCAAATCTTTACCCCGGTGGCGAGTCAGCTGTGTTTGTGAGATCTGAGAGCTATTTGGACAACCTGGATGCTCAGATCCAGGCTATCCAGGAATATGGCTTTTATGGGGGTCCCTAAAAGATTTATGCGTATTCTTATGTACTTTTCATATTTTGTAATTTATGTTGTCATTGTGACTCAGTAATTTAGTGGGCATGTTGTGGGAGTTTCTGTGGGGGTGTGTATTGTACCCTTGACTTGCATAAAAGCCGGCAATCTAGCCTGAATAAAACATTCCTGTTGTACCCTTCATCTAGTCTAGGCTGTTGTTTAGGTATGCGTCTGACTACCCGCTGGATTTATTTGTATGCTGTATTTTATTCTGGAGAAGTACAAATAAGCACCTGAAACACCTCAGCAGCAGACCCTCCCACCTCCTGGACAGCATCCATTTTACATTCATTATGAAGCTGCATTTTTAGTGAGCTGTCCAGGAGGTGGGACGGTCTGGGAGGGAGGGTCTGCTGCTGATTGACTGGAATGTGTCTGCTGACTGTGAGGTACAGGGTCAAAGTTTACTCAATGATGAGTCCGTGGCGAACCGTTCGCGAACCGTTCGGCGAACCGTTCGGGACATCACTAGCTGAGAGCAGTTGCCTGATGCAACAGGCGTGGCCTCCTGGCTTCTGCAAAATAACCAGGGAGCAATGGTGGTTCTGCAGATGCCAGGAGGCAATGGAGACTGGCAGGGACCCAACTAAGGGGACATTCCATTGCTGAGTGGTTTGCCACATTACTGGGGTACTGGGCCAGGGTATTCCTGGCATCATAACCACTACAAAGGGTTTACGTTTAGTAATTATTTAAATTCTTGTTAGTTTATTACTACAACTAGCATCTGTAATTTTATAAAAGTCAAAATATTTTTCCAAGATTAAATTGTAATTTCCATGCGAGAGAAAACGTGAATTATGGTTTAGTACTTTTTAGGTAAATTTTAATTCATACCTTAAAGAGATAAACATAATTAAAATAGTTTTAAAAAATGCAAGAAATGTTCCTTTGTTCTTAATAAACATGTTTCCAACATGTTTGATATTTCATTCCAGAGCAATGAGTGGTCCAGTATAGTTAAAGAATTTGTTGCATATAAAGATTAAACCAATGTGCAAGCAGGGACAAGTACAAACTCCAGTCCAGAGACAAAAGGTCAAACTAGGCAGCCTGGAATTTGCTCATTTTTTTTTAAAATAAATTGTCATTTTGAGATCTGCTCTAAAATGACAGTAAAAGAGTAGGTATTTCCACATAATCGCTATCTACTTAACCTCGTTCTACATTCGAATATTGCAGTATTCTCTGCATGAGCAGGGTCCTTTCTATGTAATCGACTTGTTGCAATAAATTTTCATTATTGCAAAAATGAATTATTGTATTGTGTATTTTTTGTTATGAGAAAGATATTGAAAAATGCAAATGAAAAGATTTTACAATTTTTTAGCTAGGCCCCATTTTGTGTTTTTTATTATACATAATTGTAAAATGTAATTCTGTGTTGCTATGGATGTTTTATAGATCGAAATCATAATGAAACCCGAAACAGACTGTTCTGGACATAACGTACTATTTGTGTGAGGTATGGGTATTTTCAAGATGTCAGCATTTAAGATCTAATCTTCTAGAGCAAAGCAAAAGACAGCAATAGAATAGGACATATTGTATTATTGACAGACCAAAGGCCTAAGGCTGCAGCTGAGTGAAAAATATTGAAAGTGACTATATATGAAGTGTTGAAACGTGGAGTAGGAATACAAATAATTCTTTGTTGCATTTTTAGGAAATAGATGTTTCTAGAGCTAAATGCAGATTATGTATAGATCTGTCTATAGAGTAAAATGAATACAATGGTTTTTCACCTCAAATCGTTTTAAGGTGGATATTTCACCTGAAAAATTCTTTAGATAAACTCAGTAAGACAATACTTCTAACAAACAAATAATTTAAAATATCCAAACTATAGAACAATTAGCAGTAATTAAACAGATTTTTTTTTTTTTTTTTAGACATAGATCCCTGACTGGGACTTGCATCAACATTTTTCTGATAGTATCAGTAATGGAAGTTTTTTGTATTGCTAAAAAAAGAGTGCATGTATTATTTTACATCAAGGTTATTTACTTAAGTGAGAATTATCTCAAATTTAAAGTGAATTTCAAATTTAAGGGCAAAATAGCCAGACTAGAAGCATAGCTGAATGGGATATTCACCTTTTTTGGAAAGAAATTTCAAATTCACTTTGAAATCCCTACAATTCTCTCTGTAGTGAATTACCTGCGCATTATGTTGTAACGCATATGTGTGAGTAAATACCTCTTTTTCAGTGCATATTCTGTTTTTCATGTGTTTTTCTTAATAAATAGCTCAATTTTAATTTAATGTGCAGATATTTTTTGCTTAAGCAGCCTACTAGAACGGTCGGCAGTATAAAAGCTTCTTCCCATAATATGGTTTATTCATTTTTCTTTCTCCTTGACATATTTTGTTGTATGCAATTCTTAGAAAGTATATTTAACCCCTTAAGGACCAAACTTCTGGAATAAAAGGGAATCATGACATGTCATGTGTCCTTAAGGGGTCCTTAAAGGACCACTACAGGCACCCAGACCACTTTAGCTCAATGAAGTGGTCTGGGTGCGGTCCCCCTAGTTCTAACCCTGCAGCTGAAAACATAGCAGTTTCAGAGAAACTGTTATGTTTACACTGAGGGTTAATCCAGCCTCTAGTGGTGGTCTCAGTGACAGCCACCAGAGGTCGCTTCCATGCTTCTCACTGTGAAAATCACAGTTAGAAGACCCTGGACGTCCATAGGAAAGCATTGAGTGATGCTTTCCAATGGGCAGTTTGAATGCGCACGCGGCTCTTGCCCCACATTTAGAGCTGACGTCGGCGGGGGGGAGGAGAGGTCACCAGCGCCAAGGGAGCCTGGTGCTGGATTAAGGAAAGTGGCTGAAGAAGTTTTAACCCCAGCGGGAGGGGGGCTCCGAGGTAGGGGGGGGACCTAATAACCCTATTGCCAGGAAAACGAGTTTGTGCTCATTTAAGGTTCGCCTACACAGGACTGCTGCCTTTAAGGTGTATGTTCAATATCCATCCCATTTATGTTTGTTTTTGTGCTCACACAAAGATGACAGCTCCATGGAGGTGGCAGCCATCTTTAATCTACTTTGGTCAGAAGCACAGCTAGAAGGAAGAATCTAAGTAGCTATAGTATATATAGTTTTAAGCTCTAATTTCTCTAAAAAAAATGTATATATAAATTAACATTTGTTTTCTAATGCAAAGCAATGCTTCATGACATTTAACCAAACAAACACCATTTACTTTTTGGTACAGCATTGCTTTCGACCGTGTGCAGCAGTGGCAGAACTACTGCTGGTGCTACCAGTGTGGTTGCAATGGGGCCTGCTGGCTCAGGGGGTCCACTGGGTGGCCCATTCACTCACATCCACCAGATGGGTAATATTGTTTAACCGGGGCACGGTCGGACACAGAGCCTGACCGGGCCTCTGTGGCAGGGCCGCCATCAAGGGGTGACAACCATAATGGTTGTCACGGGCCGGGGGGCCCGGCCGCTCGTGGCCCACACACTTAGGGCCACCCGATGTGCCCTATATCTTCAGGGGCCCAGTCAGCGCTGTGGCTGTGGTATAGCGCGACCGGGCCCATTTAAAAAAAATAAATAAATATAAAAAAAAGCGCCCACAACTGCTGTTGGGAGGAAGTGGTCGCTCACTCCGCGCGTGAGGAGTGCGCGCGCCAGTGAAGAGGGAGAGCCAGGCAGTGAAGAGGGAGCCGCGCCGACTGCCATCATCCCCAGCCACCCTCCTGGAAAGAAAAGGTAAGAGACTGGAGGGTGGCTGGAAAATGAGCTGTGTGTATGTATGTAGTCTGTCTGTCTGTCTGTGTATGTATGTATGTATGTAGGTAGTCAAACAGACTACATACATACATACATAGACAGACTACATACATACATACATAGACAGACAGTCTCTGTATGTATGTAGTCTGTCTATGTTTGTAGTCTGTCTGTCTGCATATCATTATGAACGTTTGTGGGTGTCTTTATGTCCTCATGCATGTGTGTCTGTATGTATGTATGGATGTATGTGTCACTATGTATGCCTGCGTGTGTTAGTATGTATGACTGTATGCGTGTGTCTGTCTCAGTATGTGTGTGTCAGTATGCGTGTATGTCTGTTTCAGTATGTGTGTCTGTTAGTATGTATCTGTGTCCTTTTGTATCAGAGTGTGTGTGTATTCCTGTGGGTGATATTTGGAGGCGGACCCAGTGGGCGGTATTTGGAGGCGGGCCCCAGACACTGAGCTGAGTTAGGGACCCACCTAAAATTTCTGGTGGCGGCCCTGCTCTGTGGTATCAGCCAGCTGGGAGTAAGTGACAGACAATCACTTCCTCCCAGCTTCTTACTGTGTGCCGCGTGGGGCGGGAAGAGGCAGCGGCGGAGGAGGCACAGGCAGCATGAGGGGAGAGAGACAGGAGCTGGAGCAGACCCCTACACCCGCTCCCCTCAGCCACCTCTTCAGTAACAGAAAACACTGAGGTTCATAACGAGAAAACATAAAATAACGAAGCAGAAAAACACTTATAAAAACATTTATTAACTCAGGTCCACTTGTCTTGCCACTCCAGGCAAAATATATTAGGAAATTTGTATTTGGGTACAAAAAGTTCCAATTTTTTTTTCCAAGGTTATAAAGCATATAGAGAATAGACAGCAATATGATATAGCATTTAAGGCAAAGTGTGTTACATTTACCTCGTTTATTAGTGCAGTATTCCAGTATTATAGGACTTTTTGCAATCTGTTAAAGGATTGTGTTATATAAAACAGATTATAACAAATACAGAGGTTATCTAACTACAAATATATAGTGGCAAATACAGACAGCAATAAACATGACATTAATTTGGTTAAAGAGAGGATGGGAGCCATTATAGATGCCATTCCATTAACAATAAATTAATCAGCTTATAACTATTTGAAATTTGGAGGAACAAATACTAAAAACTGTAGGTGGAATAGATACGTGAAGTAAAACCTCAACATTTGTGCTGGTAATGTTTAACCCTTTAGGTACCAGGACACGAAGCTCTGGAAGTCAAAAGGTCGTAATGTCTTTTACAAAAAGACCTAGGTTTACAAACCGTTGTCCTCTATTCGTATTCAGGACTTAGGTCCATATGGCTTGCTGTGACTTCATAAAGTCTGCAAATTAAATTTTTGCATCTCATCTGAAAGAAAAAAAAAAAAAATGAAAAAAAAAACAAGAATATGGAACTTTGCTTGTTCTCTGGCTTCTCAGGAGATGTAATTCCACACAGGCTTCCTGTTTACTGCAGCAATGCAAGTAGTGTCTTCATATAATCATACATTCTGATACATGCAGCACCAGACCTGAGATCATGAGCTGTACAATAGCAATCCCCCAAGACTGGAATGAACTGTAAGAGAGCTGTGAAATACATTAAGCCAAGTCAATGCATCATTTAACACCAGGGTTACCATTTGCCATAGTGCAATTGAAGACTGGCATATGGAAGCAGAAGTGGTGTCACTAGTTTGAAAAATGTTTGGTTCATTACAATCACAAGAAGCAGGTATATATTTAGCATGAAGACTTACAGCTATGAAATTTATGGACAAACACACTGTAACATGGATACAAAAAGTATCAACAAGTATCCATTTTGGATTTCCAAAGATTTTCCCCTCTTGATTGACTGTTGATACACCTACCTAAAAATATACAGGTAGAGTATGCTGCATATATCTTATTATAGGAAATGCCAAGTCACTGTAGAATACAAGCTCACATTATTATATGATGTGAAGCAGAGCTGAGCTTTTACGTGTTGTACATATATTAAACAGATCTTCTTTGATTGTACAACAAGACTGATATTTTCCCGGCAGACATTTATTTTCTTTTTACCAACATTCTTTTCTGTTAAAAAAAAAAACAAAAAACAAGCAATCTACGTTCTTTTTTTTCTTAAGTGTTTGGTCTACTTTCAATGCTAGAAAACTGAAATGTGAAAATATTTAATGTCCTGGTGGGTGTTTTCAAAGGACTCTCGGTGGCAGGCGGTGCTTGTACATGCCAGCAAGGGCTTTGGTTGCGCTGTAGATCATCTGTCTTCTGGACATGCCTGTAAATGCCACATGCCAATCAGTCCGGCTGACATGGGGCAAATTTCTCTCCAGCACCTCTCCGACAGTCACCGAGAGACCAGACCACCGAAGGCTATAGTCTTGTGGAGTAAGATTTTGAGCCTGTGTAGAAAAAGAAATACTACAGTTACAGCTTGTCAGATTCTGCAAAGATATTTTTGCAGATTAAAAAAAGCGATTAGAGTACTCACTACAGTTGTTGTGACAGATTCAATAAAACCAAAGCTTAAAGACAATCAAAATTCTGCTGTAAATATACTGCTCAAAAAAGTGTAACAGTTGCAAATAAGGACAAGAAATGATATACAACCTGAAAGGGACCCCCTGCAGAATTTACAAACAGTCTACACATTGTCACAAATCTAGTAAGCAAATAAAAAACACACAAAAAAATAAAATAATAAGCTTTTAAATTGGCGCTACCCAATCAAAAAAGAACAAGCCAATGGTACACTTGTGCAATCCCATTCTCTTTGATTTATATTACATTTCTATAAAGGGTGTATTACTTGGGAGGTGCTGCAGTAATATGTGTTTCATATAATGTTCCTCATCACACACACAATTAAAATCGGAGATGGTCTATTTAAGTTCCAAAATGTTTTTATTCAAAATTGCCTTTTTCACCCAAACATTTGCTATGTGAAGTATGTTAATTTCTTTACTAATGGCAAAGTGGGTTATTTTGTTTATTTGCACTTCCTTCTTATAAGAGAGAGTCTGCTGCCATTCAGCTGAAGAAATTTTTAAAATAATCTTAAAGGGACACTGTAGACAATGTAACTTTTGTTTGTTTGTTTGTTTTTTAATTCTTTATTTTTATAGTGCATTTTCAACATCTCAGATATGCATAGACATGTCACATTTTAACAGTATGGATTGTTAAAGAAGTTTAGCAATACATGTCAAGATTACTGCACTATTTTTAAATTATAGGTTGCAAAAATAAGTCAGCTGCTTATAACTTCATAAAGAAGGAATCGTATAGCATGGTATAAGCTTGTAAGAATTAAACTAAAATATGAACTGAACACATGCCTATGCCCACAGGGTATACATCACTGTCCGGCATGGAGGTGGCTCGCCAGGGGACTACACGCTCACTTGGTGAGTAGGTGCCCGGCCAAAAGAAGCATGAGAAGCGGTTATGAGGTGACTGTAGTGGTCTCTTCATGAAGCTTGTTACTGACTCTCTGTGTACAATGGGACTTGGCACTCCACAACAATGGCAGACAGGACGTCGGTCCACAACTCGCAGTGCGGTTACAGCAACTTACATCGCTTTGGTGTAATTAAATTAGGAGTCATCTCGTGGGTACCGCCATCACAAGTCAGAGGTGCAGAGTTGACGGAGGCACGGTACGTGCCATCCGGATCTCCACAAAAGCTTCCAGGCGACAGGCATGCTTAGACCAAAAGATCTGTCTGTTTTTTCCAGAATTGTGGGTTTTTAGGTCTCGTGGTGTGATTTCACACGTGGAGTCTGCCATTGTGTAGGAGGCAGGAGGGCTGCAGCTGAGAGGGTATTGCTGGAATGCTGTCCCAGGAGCACAGGTAATGATTACTGGGATATCCCTCACCGGTGGGCAGGTTGGGGAGACTCCAAGATGTATTGTTGCCAGTAGGTAGAGGGATCGGTAACTGTTTCAATTGCGTATTTTACTTTATTTCCTTTCACTTGTATGTGTAATATACTTTTCCAATGTCCTTGAAGGTGGACAAATAAGTACTGATATTGTGCTGTACTCCGCTTGTTTGCCAGGGCTAGTTCAGGGAACAGCCCTTCCCAGGCATGGTCAAAAGCCCCTATTTCATTTGGTGTTACATACCCTCTATAGTTACTTATACAATCAGGGCACTTGAACCTCCAGAGTTTAACTGTGGGTATTTTACCTGTGTGCTATACTTTCATGTTTTCAGCCACTAGCACATAGGTTGTATGTTGGAGTTGTTTTAGTTGTGACCCCTTGTGATTAACATGGGGTATTACACATAGGAATTAGTGTGTACATCAATTTATTATTCTTTTTTCTATCTTTTCTATTTTTCCCTTTATCTATTCAGTAGGAATAAAGAAAATGGACAGCGTGGATGGATTATTGGGAGGGGCTGGAGATAATCCAGCTGTCATGGTCCACATTGGTACCAATGGCAAAGTCAGAGAAAATAGTCCTAAAGAATATGTTCAGAGAATTAGGAAGTAAACTTAAGAAGAGGACCTCCAAGGTAGTATTTCCAGAAATATTACCTGTGCCACGCACTACAGTGTAAGGCAGCAGGAGATTAGAGAGGTCAATAAAGTCTTGGTGTAGGAAGGAGGGTTTTTGCTTTTTAGAGCACTGGGCCTGATTTTGTGCTTGGGTACAATCGTTATAGCCGTAATGAACTGCACCTAAACGTAAGAGAGTCTGCAGTGCTGGGAACAGGATGGCTAGAAAGCTGGACGAAATGTTAAACTAGTTGTAAGGGGGGGGAGAGGGACATCGTAATCTACAAAATAGAGATAGGACAGAAAGAAGATGGGCTACAGATCAGCACAAGGAGGGAGGAGATGAGGGGAGGGGTAAAATCAGAACAGAGGAGGTATGTAATAGTAATAAAATTCACATAAAGCACAAGCTACTAATGAGAGTATTAAATGTATGCTTACTCACGCAGAGACAAAATAACAAAAAGTAATTTTACATAACATGCATAACAGAAACATAGTGGGATGAGACACATGACTGGGTAGGTAACTTAAATGATTATGCATTATTTAGGAAAGTTAGAGAAAACAGGAAAGGTAGTGGGAAATGTTTGTATGCCAACCATACATTAAAGCCAAATCTTAAGCAAGTGGAATGTGACGAGGACATGTAGAGCTTTATGGGTAGATAACGGCTTGGGAATATTATTTATTGGTTGGAATATGTTATAAACCACCCAATGTTAATATTGAGGAGGAAGAACGGCTTTTAGAGACAATTGGGAAAGCTGCACATCTGGGTGACAATTTAATTATTGGAGATTTTAATTACCCGGACATAAACTGGGATAGAGGGACTATTAGTTCAGCAAGGGGAATCAGGCTTTTGAATGTTGTAAATGACACCTTCATGTCACAACTAGTACAAGCATCAACTAGAAAGGATGCTTGTCTGGATCTGGTTATAACAAACAATGTTGATATTTTGACTACATTAAAGTCGGGGAGCATTTGCAAAATGGTGATCACAATTTTGTGTCTTTGAAATAAACTCAAAAAAGCAAAAGCACATGGCGTATACTAAAACATCTAATTTTTAAAAGGCCAACTTCAATAGGAAAGTGCATCTTTACAACATATTGACTGGCAAACCGTTTAGTGAAAAAAAAAAAAAAAAACAGAGGATAAATGGAATATATTCAAAGAAATATTAGAAAGGTACTTTTACGAGTATGTACCATTAGGTAATAAATATTAAAAATATATATAATAATAATAATACCAATGTTGTTTAGTGGGAAAGTAAACAGAGATTAACCCCTTAACGACGAGTGACGGACTATCGCAGGGTTGATAGTGCTCCGGTCTGCCTCTGTATTAGAGGCAGACCGGGAGCACCCGATAGTGCTGCCCCAGCCTGTCAGAGCGAGCACATGTGCTCAGTATACTTACCTTCCGCCTCCCTGCACTTCACACAGAACCAGTAAGTGCAGGGAGGCGGAAGGTAAGTATACTGAGCACATGTGCCGGAACAGTGATGATCCTGCCCCCTGTGTAAAAAAAATAAAATAAAGTTAATTTAAAATCCCATCCCCCTTTACCCATTTTAATAAAAAAAATTAACCCCTTCCCTGCCAATTGATCACCGACTACAGTGATCAATTGGCAGGGATTACATTTTATTGTCATCTGATTTTTATTTTTTAACCCCTCAGAGTTAATTTTTTTTTTTTTTTTTTTTTTTACCCTCAGGGGTTAAATTTATTTAATTAATTTAAATATTTTAAAATTATATATTTAGCTAGCTGGGGTGGGTAAGTTAGTGGGGAATTGGGGATTTGGTGTTAGGCTAACTAGGGGTTAACGTTAAAAAAAAGTTTTAAAATAAGCTTTAAAAGTTACAAATTAAGCTAAAAAAAGTTTTAATAACGTTTAAAAAAAACAAAACCCCCTTTACCCAGTCCAAATAAAAATTAACCCCTTCCCTGCCAGTCGATCACTGCCTACAGTGATCAAAATACAGATCACAGTATTATACTGTGATCTCATTTTTTTCACCCCTGAGGATTAACTTTTATTTATTTTTTAACCCTCAGGGGTTCAATTTATTTGATTAATTTAAATATTTTATAAATTATATATTTTACTAGCTGGGGTGGGTGGGAGTTATGGGGAAATGGGGAATTTACTGTTAGTGCCTTACTGCTAGTTAGGGGTTAACGGTAAAAAACGGTAAAATGTTAAATCTGTAAAAAAGTTTAAAAAAATTTATAAGCAAAACAAAAGTTTCAAAAATAGTTTTTAAAAGTAAAAAAATACATTACCACTACACCTGGAACAAACTAGAGAAAAAATTATCCCACGCCAGGGTTCAAAATATGCCTTTTGAATTACCCCAGGGTGTATTCTTTAATAAATAGTATGTGTTTGTGGGGAAGTTTCAATAACCAACCGTCTAAACTACTCCAAATTGGAACATGGACACAGCGTAAAACTTCAAAGTTAGAAAAAAAACTGAATGGCTGAGTCTCAAATGCGCCCCTATAACATCCACATATACCTGGCAAAGGTACATACGGTGGTATTGCTGTACTCAGACGACATAGCTGAGCAACATATGAAGTATTATACAGTCATAACACACATAAGGTTTGCAAAATATACTGTGCAAACTCACTTTGTGTGTCAAAAAGGCAGAAAAAACGTATTACCACTACACTTGGTACAAGCTAGCGGAAAAATGATCCCACGCTAAGGTTCAAAATATACCTTTTGAAATACCCTGGTGTGTCTACTTTAAGAAATGGTAGGCCTTTGTGGGGTAGTTTGAATTTAAAACCCTGCTAAGATGCTTGGAAATTGCACATAGGCCCAGCGTCAAAATTCAAAGTTCAGTAAAAACTGATATGGTTTGGTCTCCTTTATGGCACTGTAGCTTCACGAAATAGTGCCAAAGACATTCATTGGGGGTGTCTTTTTACTCAGAAAACTTAGCTGAGCATAATTTGGGGGGTTTGAACTTAGTGGCACATATGAAATATACAAAATGCCCAGCAAAAATGCAATCCATGTGTAAAAAAACACGCAAAATTATTTTTTATCACATACTTTAGTATATATTGGTGAAAAAAATGGGGGCATGTTATGACACCATATGCACCTTATGAGATACCCTGGAGTGTCTACTTTTGTGAAAATCACAGTAAGAAGCATGGAAGCGCCTCTAGCGGCTGTCAATGAGACAGCCACTAGAGGCTGGATTAACCCTAAAGTAAACATAGCAGTTTCTCTGAAACTGCTAGGTTTACAGCAGGCAGGGTTAACCCTAGGTGGATCTGGCACCCAGACCACTTCATTAAGCTGAAGTGGTCTGGGTGTCTATAGTGGTCCTTTAATAATAGGAAAAGGGCAAAGTAACATCCCCAGGATGTACTTGGAAACCAGAGTAATCTGAATGTAGCTTTCCTGGTTAAATACTGTGTTGCTATTACTTAAAACATCTAAATCAGACTACCGTATATACTCGAGTATAAGCAGAGTTTTTCGGCACATTTTTTGTGCTGAAAAACCCCAACTCTGCTTATACTCGAGTCAGTCTGTATTATGGCAATTTACATTGCCATAATACAGACTGGGGGCTGGCAGAGCTGTTACTTACCTCTCCTGCAGCTCCTGTCAGCTCCCTCCTCCTCCGCGCCGGTCCGGTCAGCACCTCGGTCAGCTCACACTAAGTCTCGCGAGAGCCGCGGGGTCATAGAGCGGCTCTCGCGAGACTTACAGTGTGAGCTGAGAGAAGAGCTGCACGGACCGGCGCGGAGGAGGAGAGAGCTGACAGGAGCTGCAGGAGAGGTAAGTAACAGCTCTGCCAGACCCCTCCTCTCCCCACTGAACTGCCAATGCCACTGGACCACCAGGGAAGGAGAGCCCCCCTCCCTGCCATGTATCAAGCAGGGAGGGGGGACAACAAAATAAATAAATTGATAATATATACATATAAATAATAATAAATAAATTTATAATATATAAATAATAAAAATAATAAAAAAATAATGAAAAAAAAATAATATAACAAAAAAAAAATTAAAATAATAATTTTTTTTTAATAAAAATGCCCACCCCCCCACCAAGGCTCTGCAACACAAACACACTGCATCACACACACACACACACTGCATTTATACACTCACTGCACACTCATACACACACTGCATTTATGCACACACAGTGCACTCATACACAAACACTGCACTCATGCACACACGCTGCACTCATACACACACGCTGCACTCATACACACACGCTGCACTCATACACACACGCTGCACTCATACACACACGCTGCACTCATACACACACGCTGCACTCATGCACACACGCTGCACTCATGCACACACGCTGCACTCATACACACACGCTGCACTCATACACACACGCTGCATTCATCATATACACACACTGCATTCATCATATACACACACTGCATTCATCATATACACACACTGTAAATAAATATTCAATTAATATAATTTTTTTAGGATCTAATTTTATTTAGAAATTTACCAGTAGCTGCTGCATTTCCCACCCTAGTCTTATACTCGAGTCAGTACGTTTTCCCAGTTTTTTGGGGTAAAATTAGGGGCCTCGGCTTATATTCGGGTCGGCTTATACTCGAGTATATACGGTAATTAGAGGAATGCTATACAAGATGTAAGGGACCCAATAATGCATGCAAAAGGGCAATTGGAATGGCCATAGTAGAAAATGAGAAATTGATAGCCAAAGCAAAACCAACCTCCAATTATTTTTTAGTGCATGAATTCGAAAAAAAAACTATTAAAAAATGAAAGTGTAGGTCAACTGAAAACAGAGATGGGTGTGTAAGTTAATGAAGACCACACCTTCAATATGCTTTGAAATTGTGTTCACCTGTTCTAAAAAAGGATATTATGGCAATAAGTGCAGTGAAAAAAAAAATTGATAAAAAGGAATGGAGCATTTTAGTTATAAGGAGATGTTAACAAATTTACATCACTTTAGTTTATAAAAACGGCACATTAGAGGGGATATGATAACGTTATACAAATATATTTGGGGCCCAATACAAACCATTTTCTGGAAATCTATTTATAAATAGGACACAAGGTCACGCATTTAGACTGAAAGAAAGGAGATTTAGTCTAAGGCAAAGGAAAGGTTTTTTTTACAGTAAGAACAATAAAGATGTGGAATTCTCTGCCTGAAGAGGTGGTTTTATTGGAGTCTATACAGATTTTTAAACAGCAATTGGATAAATATTTGCAAATACATAATATATAGCAATATAATTTTCAATCAGTTTGGTAATGGCGTCTTGATCCAAGGAGATATCTGACTGCCATTCTGGGGTCAATAAGGATTTTTTTTCTAGTTAGTTGCACAATTGGAAGCGCTTCAGACTGGGTTTTTGCCTTCTTTTGGATCAACAGCAAAAATAAATGTGAGGAAGCCTGAACTTGATGAACACATCTCTTTTCAGCTATGCAACTATGAACTTTTTAATAATAGTTAGCAATTTTAGTCTTTTTAAGGATTTCCAATTAAAAAAAAAAAGTTATTTATCTTGCCTGCACATTTACTTTTTTCTTTAGATTTTGATTTTCCCATTCATCTTAACCCCTTGATTCAGTGGACAGTTGTATTATGTTCCGCATTTTTGTGTTCTCGGTCATAAAACAAGGTAAAGAGACCCCCTACAGTCTACCCAGAGAATAGCACGGTCATAAGTTTGCCTTTTTTCAACTGCATATCATATTTTGAGCTTATAAAGAAAAAAATATATGATAATCATAATATCTAAAAATTACATTGCCTGTTAAAAACTTTGGGGTTGTTCCCTAAATGCAAAAGTTCAAATATGTCTTATAATTAAAAAAAAAAAACTGAACAATTAAATAGAAAATTAAAAGATTAAAATCACAAATTTAAAAAAAAATAAAAAAATAAAATAAAAAAAATATCCTAAAATAAATAATCATATAAAACTAATTTTAAAAAAAGCATACAAAAGAAGGGAAATTGAAAATGGTCATTTAAAAAAAAAAAAAAAAAAGTAAAGAAAACGCAACAAAAATATTTGTACAAAAGAAATCGCATATATTTCATTTTGGACAAAGCAATAGCAGAATTATTTGTTGCTCATTTTCTTTAAGTGTTTTGCAGAAAGATTTATCAAATGTGTGGTAATAGTCTGTGGGTTGAAATGCACTCCACCTTCAACAAGTAAAACCTGATTCACTAGTTAGATGAACCTCTAGAAACCTATGGAGATTTTATATCAATATACTGTCAACTGTGTCTACCATTTGCCAAATCTCTAAAAGGGTTAGAGACATAAAGAAGATAGTTGGTCCCATTTAATTATGATATAAAGCTTTCTGACTGAACAAATATGTTGAAAATCAAATGTAAAGAAAGATCAACAGCAAACTATTAAATGAAATCTCATTTTGTCTCATTTTCCATTGAGACACTATTACTAACCTGCTGTACGTATTCCAGAGGCAAAGGAGTAGCTTGTGTGAAGGTCTCCAAGCGTATGCCATGTATAGGATCATCCAAAATTACACAGCCAATGTCAAACCACCTACAAAATATGAGTCACTTATGTTTAGGGGGACAAAAATAGATTATATAACATTTACTTTCTTGAATCATTGATAAAGACGTTGTACAGCCTCTAAAAATCCAGGTTATCACATACAATGAAAGGAAGAGAGGGAGCAGTGTAAGATCAATCAAAGCCACAGGAGGACTCTCCAAGTTTTCCAACACATTCTAGTTGTATTGTTTATTATTATCATCATTTAGATAGCGCCAACAGATTCCATAGCGCTTTACAATATTATGAGAGGGGGATTTAACTATAAATAGGACAATTACAAAAAACCTTTGGGGAACAATAGGTTGAAGAGGACCCTGCTCAATCGAGCTTACATTCTATAGGAGGTGGGGTGTAAAACACATTAGGACAGGAATTTGCAGTCAAATAAGGTGTGCTGCCCTTTAGGAGAGAGCAAGAGACAGCTTTGTGAGGTAGAGGTTAGTCTTGGAGGCCATAAGCTTTCCTAAAGAGATGGGTTTTAAGGCACTTCTTAAAAGATGCAAGACTAGGGGAGAGTCTTATGGCGGTAGGCAGGCTATTCCATAGGATGGGAGCTGCTCGCGAGAAGTCCTGCAAGTGTGAATTGGCCGTACAGGTGCGGACAACGGACGGAAGGTGGTCACGGGCAGAGCGTAGAGACCGAGAAGGGACATACCTATGGATCTGTGAGGAGATATAAGAGGGGCTAGAGTTGTTCAGTGCTTTATAGGTGTGAATAAGTACCTTGAATTGACTCCTATAGCATACAGGAAGCCAATGTAAGGACTGACAGAGGGGTGAGGTGTGAGAGAACCGACTAGAGAGGAAAATCAGTCTGGCAGCAGCATTCATTATGGACTGTAGCGGTGCAGTACGGCTTTTGAGAAGACCAAACAGGAGAGGGTTACAATAATCCATGCGGGAAATTACTAGAGCATGGACAAGCTCATTGGTAGCATCTTGTGTAAGAAAGAGGCGGATGCGGGCTATGTTTTTAAGATGGAATCTACAGGATTTGGCAACATGCTGGATGTGAGGTTCAAAGGTGAGGCCAGAATCAAGTATGACGCCAAGACAGCACGCTTGCAAGGATGGACTGATATGGGTATTGAGGAAATGAGACACACGGCTAAAGACTTTTCCAGAAGCTTTGAGGAAAAAGGGAGCAGGGAAATGGGACGATAGAGGGAGTGGACGGGTCGAGGGATGGTTTTTTTAGTATAGGTACTACGGTGACATGTTTAAGGTCAGCAGGGACAATGCCAGAAGAGAGAGAGCAGTTGAAGATGTGCGTTAAGGAAGGCACGAGACAAGTGGAGAGAGATCTAATAAGGTGAGATGGGACAGGATTGAGTGGGCAAGTGGTGGGGCGAGAGGAAAAGAGAAGAGCAGCCACCTCTTGGTCAGTAGCCGGGGAGAATGTCTGAAGGGTAGGAAAGGCATTATCTATGTGTGGTTTAGAAACAGAATGGCAAGGAGGGGAGAATTATTTCCTTAGCTGTTCAATCTTCTCAGTAAAGTAACATGCAAAGTTATCAGCAGTAAGGTTAGTTTGGGGGGTGGCCACAGCAGGGCGAAGAAGAGAATTAAAGGTGTCAAAGAGATGCCTGGGATTGCAGGAGCATAAATTAATGAGAGAGGAAAAGTAGGACTGTTTGGCAAGGGCAAGGGCTGAGCTGTATGAACACAATATGAATCTATAATGGAGAAAGTCTGACTGGGTGCGAGACTTCCTCCAGGAGCGTTCAGCACAACAGGAGCATCTTTGCAGGTAGCATGTTGATTTAGTCTGCTAAGTCCCAGTTCATAAGTATCTCTGCCAATAGTAAAAATGCAGGTCTTAAATCAGAATTGGCTCTAAAATAGAGCTTTATGGACAATGTACTGTCTAAAAGATAGTTATGTTAGATAATGGGTTCTATTTGACCATGAAAAGTCAAAGCCGTTCCCCCCCCCATTTGTGATTATTTTCATTATAAACAAAATGAAAAGGATCCCTTGAATAGTGGCCAAATTAGATTATACCAGGATTCTACTTGATGAGGCTGAACTTACAGGTACTTTGGCCCAATATATGGTTATTGCCCTCATCAATATTAGTCATGATGACTGAAGATGAAGTATCGAACTAAAACAATTTTTTTATTTTAATATAACAGACAAATCAATCATCCAAACAGTCCATTAATTGCCACTTAGTCTCTGTAGGGTAGAGAGAGTAATTTAATTTCATACACTAACACCAGCAACTGAACAGAAACTAACAGCCAAACCTTTTTTCTCATTTCTCACAACCATTGAAGGGAGCAGCTTATTAATAACAAATCCCATTCAGCACAACACTTGCATAACTACACTGAATCTTATATCACCACACCTTACATTTCACATGTAACTGCAGTGAACAGCCTGTAACTAGCATCCATAAACATAAAACATGTTTAAGTTTGCAACAATTATCCGTGCTGATAACTAGCCAGTGCATGCACAGACAACATTTGAGCAAGGCACAAGCCACCAAAACACAGACAGGCAATTAGCACCTTAGGCAAAAAGCTTTGCCATTATTTTGCAGTCTTCTAGTTTAGCAATACATAAAGACGTGTGTCTTACCGGTCAGGCAAAAGTTCTGCAATGAAATTTTCTACTGATACAGCAGGTTGTTTCTCATGGATCACGCCACTCCTGCGCAAGCCATCTATTCTTTCCTGAGCCCCCTATGGAAACAAACATGATAAAATTATTCCTAGGTTGTTACAAACTTGGAAAACTCTTCAAAATTGTGTTTTTTTTGCTTTATTTCAGATTAACAGCAAAAAGAAAAGCTAAACTTTCATGCAAGTCATTTTTCAGCCTATAGTACAACGTAAAAACACATTTGACATAAAAATTAAAAAAAAACTAGAAAAAACTAAACACAGGAGCAAATTGGATTCCTTTTTCTTTTGTATATAAAATATAATCCAAACAAATAAGCAGATACCTAAGGGACCACCACTTAGGATCTGTGCACCAGTAAAAGACACTCCAGCTGTATCGGCAGGGCTTAACCCTAGAATAAATGAATAGAATGAAAAAACCCCAAAACAAACTGAAGTCACTCAAACCAAAACAGAGTGGGTGAGTGAAAGCTGGATAGTAGGTAAGTATCTTGTTTAAATAACTGTTAAGTTTAGCTGGACCAGCACCAAATATGTGCGCGCGCGCACACACACACACACACACGTGCGCGCGTACACGCGTACACGCGTACACACACACACACACACACGCGCACGTACACACACCTCTCAAAACAGGAAAATGACTAGCCTTATAAGGCTTAACCACTAACTCATAATGGGAGTATAGGGTCATCCAGTAAATTGCTTAAACTAATTTGCCCTGACCCCAATCTTGATTAATGTAAATAGACTGGGGTGAGAGTAAAAACCCTATTGGTGGGGGTGTCCAAGACCAATAGACAATATCTAAGAAGTAATATACAGTCCTAACAAAGGTTAATTAGAAATTGTGTAGGACAGGAAAATAAAAAGCCTCTCCCCTAGCTAGATAGTGGAGACAGAATAAAAAGAATGAACGAATAATTAAAGCAGTGAAAACACTGCATTTACCGTATTTATCGGCGTATAACACGCACCTCATTTTAAGAAGGAAATTTAAAAAAAAAAAAAAAAACCTTACATTTCAAATAAAGAACTTCTTACCCCCCCTTTCTTACTCCCTCCTCCCCTCTTCTTACCCCCCTTCTACCCCCCCCCACTTCTACCTCCCCCTATTTCTTTCTACTCCCTCTTCTACCCCCCTCTCTTCTACTCCCCTTCTTACCCCCCCCCTCATCCTTTTTTCCCTTACTGAAGTGCTGCCCGCGGTAGTGATAGGAAGGTGCACGCTCAGTGTGCACCTTCCTGTCAGTCTGACCGGGTACAGGAAACAGAAACTCCTGTTCCGCGCGGAACAGGAGTTTCTGTTTCCTGTACCCGGTCGGACTGACAGGAAGGTGCACACTGAGCGTGCACCTTCCTATCACTCCGGCCGGGCACCGCGGACAGCAGAGCAGCTCGGCCACGCTACAGGGGAGGGGAGGTGAGAACCAACTGCAGCCGCCTGACCGCTCTTGACAGAGCGCTCAGGCGGCTGCAGCATTTAAAGGTCCGGCGTATAACACGCACCCATAATTTGCCCCCTATTTTCAGGGAGAAAAAGTGCGTGTTATACGCCGATAAATACGGTATATATTAAATAGACATCCCAAGTGCATAGGTGCCCAACACCCACTCAGAACATAATGCCCTACGTGCGTTTTGGTGCACTAGCATGTGCACCTTTGTCAGGTTAATCAAGATTGGGGACAGGGCAAATCCTGGGCTAAAACAAGCAGTCTAATAAAGCTACTATTAGTTTAAGCAATTTACTGAATGACCCTATACTCCCATTATGAGTTAGTGGAGAAGCCTTATAAGGCTAGTCATTCTCATATTTTGTTTCTAGTTTTGAGACACATGTGTGTATATATGTACATTTAGTGCTGGTCCAGCTAAACTTATTTAAACAAGATACATGCCTACTATCCAGCTTTCACTCACCCACTCTGTTGTGGTTTAACCCCTTAAGGACACATGACATGTCTGACATGTCATGATTCCCTTTTATTCCTAAAGTTTGGTCCTTAAGGGGTTAAATGACTTCAGTTTTTTTGTATATAAATTATATTTGGTTTTATTTATTTATTTATTCTTTTTAGCATGGCAGACAGATAACAATACAAAGAAAAAGATAGAAGGGACACTGTACTCACTATAATTATGTAGCTCTTTGAATTGGTTATAGCACCTAGAGTCCCCTTGCACTGTGCCTCCATTCAGGGACCATTTTACATCAGTTTAACACTAAACAAGGGTCTTCTGGGGGTATGGCTAAGGCAGATGTTACACTTCCTTGTAGTCTTACCCTTCATACCATCAGTTAGAACTATAAGCCTAAAAACAGTCAGGTGACATTCACTTTTTTTTTTTTTCCCCAGTTCTTGTAAAGGGAAACGACCCACAAGTAATCCAAGTAGAATTTTCTTTTAAATAGTTATTAGAAATGAAAAGTGAAAATCTTTTAGGGGATCTTGTTTCACATGTAGTCTTCATCGAATTATAAATATATCCTTGTGTATGCACACTGTAACAAGACAATACTGTTTGTTTGGTGCCTTCTTCGCATTCTGCGTCATTATGTAGAGAATAATGCTAAACACAGTTAAAGTGTCTTATAGAAAAGTACTGGATTCAGATTCAACAACCCATCTCCCTCCCCCCCTTTTTTTTTTTTTTACTTTTGATTATTTAAAATTTTGCTTTGTTTTTAGTGAACCCGACAGCTTCACCTGAACGTTTGGCAAAAATGTAAGCATCATTTAGGATCTGTTATATTACTATTCACCTCGTCTCAAATGTGCCAGCACTGCCATGACAGGGATTGAAGAACTGGATTGGCTGAGCACAGCAGTTGCCGCACATGTACCATAGGTTTCTATGAGAGAAGCATCAAGCATAATGAATCCATCATAGGCTGCAGTGCTTATTTTCATTTTAACAAGGAAGCCTAGCACTGTAATGTAAAAACTTTTTTTTATATCAATTAAAAACTACCTTTAATCCAGCAGCATATCCAACAGGTTGTGGAGCAATGTTAGACTGGCCATCTTCTCCTGTAACAAGTGCCATGCCAAATACCTCTTGGAACGCATCTCGAATGGCAGCGACCTTTACCTCTTTGTTAGAGGTTACCACAAGATCCAGCTCTCCTCCTGAACCTAGAAAACAAGGACACAAACTGAATAAAACACTACCTCAACCTTATGTTATACCAATAAAGATGAAGGAAAGTATCTGAGTATGCTTAATCTTACATAAACTCTGAATTTTTCACAGTGAGGCAAAGGTCACTATACCTTCAAAGCAAACTCTCTCTCTTTAATCTTTGTGCTCTATGGGAGCAAAGCACAAGTCAGATCAGATACACGACTGTCGGTTAGAGCATTCACATGCATTAACAAAGTAAAAGAAAACGGTTGGCTCTAATGCATGTTAGTAAATGGTTAAGCGAATGACATACCAAGTAGGACACTACTCTTCTAGTAATCAGTTTGTAACACACAGTGAAATACTGCTTACACAAGAGAGTAAGAAAAAAGAAATACGATCCTCTACTACTTTAAAGACTAGGACAGTGGCTAGGCACCAGAAAAATTAGAATAAGGCACCACTGTTTGTAATGTTTGCACTCCCAAATAAACTAAAACGTAAAGTGTTGGCAAATCATCAGGGAACTGCAGATGTAAGGTGAAAATAACCGATGGAAACTGGAAAAGATTTTCCAAATCTGGCCTTAATGGTGGCCTAAAATTTGGAATTTCGACGGAATTCAGTGTTTGCAGTTCAGTGAGTGACTCTAAAAAGAAAACGAGTGGCTTTATTTACTAAATACCAAATGTGATGAACTGAAAACTGAATATCAAAACTTATACAAGTGCCAAGCCAGAAAACTCTCCATTTCAGATTTTGTTTTTCAAATAGTCTTTTTATGCAAATATATATATATTTTAGAAGGTAAAATATTAATGTACTTCTTACTAAAATTTGCAGGAGTACACAAGACTAGAACGTGAACCCAGCAGGACACATCTTGTAGGGATTATTTATGCCACATATCTGGTACATTTCTGGTCCTAACGTTGTTGGAATATATGAATGAACAGATGTGATAAAACTGCTTACGGATATAAGGTGTCATTCCGGGATCCAGTGTAGTGATCATACTTTCAACTGAATGTTTAGTCTTATCCAAAACCGATTTCACAACCGGGTTTCCAGCAACTCCCTAATGGGTAAAAACCAAACATACAACAACAAAAAAATTTAGTATATATGTATTTGGTTTTAAAAAAAACAAACAAAATAATTAAAAGTAAATGCAAGAATTTACCTCAAAAGTTTTCCTCTATGCACGGTTTAGTGGGTTTGCCTGCTCACACCAGGAAGATAGAGTTTGCGTTTATCCAAACAGTTTATCTGCCAGTAGCAGTTCCACTCATCACTAAAACGTGAGACGAACTGCACTGCAATTTAACAGCAGCATGGCTGCCATCAGCTTACACATAGCCAAGCTCACTGGTTAGCGGAAAAGGCCATTTTAAGCTCTCAGTTAACACTGACTGACAAATGGCAGAGGTGGAGTTACACCTCAGTTAAAACAGCCAAATATCATGGGTCTGGCAGTGTTTGAAGATGAGAATCTGCACAGACTAGGTTCTTCCTCCACAAACGCTTTAGAGAGCTGAAGTTGTTATGGTGCATAGCAACCCATTTTTTGACATTATAAATTAGACTAACAATAACCTGGGAGAAAACCAAAATGCTCAACTACAAAGAAATAGTCTTGAGCTTAAAAATGAACACACGTTTTACAATGCAAGCATATATCGCAGACAACCTGCACATCTGCACTCCATTCCTATACTCCTCTAGCTAATGCTAGACAATGCAAATGGCAGCAAAGACCCATGGCCTAACATAGGTCTTCAGCTACACTATTTTAATAGTGCTTACTTTGTAGCAATTGCCTAATAAAACTAGGGAACAAAAAAAAAAAAAAACACACCTAAAGGGAATGAAACTGGCACTTTGCACTCAAACAGCTGAGCCAGCTTTCCAATATAAAGCAAAAATGTTCTTTATGTATTCACAAACCTTGAGTGAAAAACAAACTGTAACAGCATTTCAAATCATACTACCACGAATACACTGTTTGTTTGACTACTATAGGACTAAAAGCTGCTACAGCTTTCACAAAAACAACCAATAATCTGTTAAACACTTTTGTTGGGGTTAGCAAGCAAAAAAAAGATGCATTATATTTTGAAGCAAAGGCAATACTTACCTTAATGAAACCCCAGATGCCTCCAGCAGGTATTTCTGTGTGTGCAGCGTGTACTCTTGGGTCTTCTGGTTCCTCTGGGAAAGTAATGGAAGATCCACCCCTAGCTAAAGGAGCCGCTTGTTGAGTGACAGGGTTTGGCATAACTTTTAAAAGAGAAAACCAAACATTAAACTCAAGGCAAGTTCAATCACAAAAATATATAACAAAACTATAAAAGACATTCACCAGCTGATACATATATCCAAAATCAGTATATCAATTAAAAATCATGCCATGGCATATTGTAAGCCTTGCCAATGCACAACTAGAAGGATTGTCTGCTTATGTTACCAGTCCTAAGCAAGCACGGATACATATATGAAACCATGTTTAAGTTCTTACAGTAGCCACAGATTGTGTGGCTAACCAAAGTTTAAGCTTGGATCTAAACTTAACGGATGGAGACTGATTGCCAAAACAAAAATACAAGGTGCTTTCAACAGTACAGCTAGGTGTATGGGATCTGTTGCATTGTTCTAAAAAGACACTATATCTAGAAGGGAGAGACAGACACATACATACATACAAACAGTATAAACAACGATGCTCAAGTAAAGACATAGCAGGAAATGGCAGAATACTACACTTGTTGTAAGTATTGAGAACGAAAGTAAAAACAAATAGATTTTTATAAGTCCTGGCATCTGATTGTAAAGCCGTGATCACATTGCATGCTCACCTAATTTCTTACATTTTTAATAAACCCCACATGCAACCAATAAACCAGACAATATAATGTAAAGCACCACTAAAGTATCCCCTATCATGCCATCATAATGAGGTGGTCTGGGTGCAGTGTCCCTTTACAAAACATTGCAGTTTTGTAGAATTTGCAATGTTTACATTGTAGGGTTAAACACACCTTTTTTAGCGGTCTTCCAGACACTATAGGCACTTCCTCTGGAACAACCAAGTAAAACTTGGTCATGTGACCATACACAGCTCATAGGAAAGAAAAGGTGAGGGAGTGGGGACCAAGGTGTTTGGAATACAGTTTTGTATTCCTAATGCTATAGTGTTCATTTAAGCAGATTTTAAATTGACAAATGAACCAGGAAGAATAAAAGGTCTAGACAACAAAACCATTTAATCTTAATGATGTTGTTTTGCTGCCAGACGCTGTCCCTTGTGTGACAATGAGTAAGGGCAATGTTAACAAAGTACAAGTGCTTGCTCACTGGGGCTATTATTTTTAAAAGTCTTCACATTTGGGGACATACATCATCATGCAAGCCTAGGAGAAGCATCCGATTAGCTAAACACAGTAATTGCTGCACATGCCCAGTACTTCTCCATGAGAAGCACTAATCTGGACTAAATATGGATGATATCAAGAAGAAAAGTATCTGCCCACAAGGAACTTCACCGGGCTGGATGAAGTTTGAGGAATGTCTGTTTATGCAAATATAGACGTGCATACGGGTAGATGATAAGTTCATGTGGGGGTGCATGTATGAATGCATGAATACATTTATGCAGTTTGTCAGTGAATGCAAAAATGTCGTTATATGTAAAAAGTTAGTGTACATTGAGTAAAATCCCATTGACGTTATTTGATAGTGGTCCCTGGTAAGAATTAAATGAATCTCAGTATTTTGTATTGGCGATGAATACTTAGTTATATGTGTCCAATTATATTTGTTTTATCTTATCCATGGCTCAATTTTACTTTAAAAGTATTTACTGCTAGATGAATATAATAGAGGGGAAATGGGCATCGCATTTATGGGACAGAATTCTACAGTTGGGACAGATGGACAATATAATAATTTTTAAATGTACAAGTGTAATATCACTTCTAATAAAATGACTTGCAAAACAGCACAGAATGTGTTCTCTAGATATGTAAACATGTATAACTGAGAAAACAGGACGCATCAAAGGGGCACATCAAACACCAAAAATAGTAAAGCTCAAAACAATGGCCACATAGCAAAAAGTCCAGAGACTCCCTTTTCCAGTTTAATTTTTTTTTTTATATATATATATATATATATATATAAAAATAGATTTCTAGAAGCAAGCAGTTTACAATACCCAAAACATAGCTAAAAGTATCTAAATTTCTAACAGTGCACGTAAAGAAGAAAAAAAAAATTCTAGATGTCTAAAATGATGTTAGAAGATTGCTTTCATTTGTAAGACACATGTATTTGTTGCTTTGATTAGGTTATTTACGTTTTACTTTGTAATACTATAGGACTACCTTGTAGCATAAGTGCTTAAAAAGGACACTCAGTATCAAAATCAGCACTTCAACTCATTGCAGTCATGACTGAGCAAAGAGGATTTGGGCACGGTCCCATTTTATGGAAGCCATTGGTGTGGCTTTAAAAAAACACAACAACAGGCATTCAGCAATTCCCATGTCAATTATCCACAATTTCCTGTTTAGTAAATATCCTGCATTGCGTTGTTGGCATTCTAAAAAAGGTATATATTTTGTTACTTAAAAATGCATTGTTCTCATCTTCAAGAATATGAAAAATTAATTGCATCATACACTAACATTGTCCTTTCCATTGGGCAGAAGGTTATGATTATAGGTTGTATGAGTAAGCACCTAACTTCTTTTCGATGTCTAGAAAAATGTTAATACATTTTCAACTCCATGGTAAGAAAAAGCTATATAGATTAACTGTGTGCCATACCATTGCACAGCACCCTATATTTGTTTTATAGTAATGCATGTTATAAGAACAGTTGATGATAAATCTGTCTATATATTTAGGATAAAACCACAGAAAAAAAGAAGGTACAACCTGTGACAGGGGGTGCAGAAAAAGTTGGCATCAGTGGTGTCTGTGGAGCCCGCCCTGCGTGACCTTTAGTGATGTCGTAAGTTGAAGCCATTGAAAATCCAGTGACAGGAGGACCAATAGGTGGTGCAGAAAAGCCAGGAGCAGGGGTAGAGCTGAGAGGAGGAGTAGATGGAAAAATAGAAGGGGAGGACATTACTGGAAGTGGGCTGCTAAAGGCTGCAGGTACAGAGGTATGAAGAGGAAGTCCAAGCCCCCCTGTGACAGGAAGAGGTGAAACAAATGGCAAAGGCTCAGAAGGTACCATGGGTCGGACTGAAGATGGTGGTAGAGGTGTAGAGAATGTAAGAGGTGGGACAGATGGACGCGGTGAAAATGCAGATGTAGCAGCCAAGGGAGTGGATAAAACTGTAAATCAAAGCAAAAAAAAAAAATCATGTTAATTCAATAATATGCATTGTAAAATCCATTTCCATATTATCATGTGTGGTAAATAATTTGAGGATCCAAAAATAACATACAAAACGTATTTAAGTAGATATTTTTTATTGCAATATAGAATCAATGATTATCATGGTCTGCAGGAAACTACTGCTGCTTAGGGATAAAGAATTTACCTGGTGGTATTGGAGTAGCAATGGCTGTAGCAGCTGCTGCACCAGAGGTCCCTAAAGTGCTGGGAGGAGGAGTACCAGGAGGAGTTGTCTCAATGCCACTCTCTTCCATCATTTTCTGAAACCGGGTACTGGAAGAAGAAAAATAATAATGCATATCAAAAGAATTTGACCAGAAATACAGCATCTCATATCAAATATCATGTCAATGTTCTAACCTCTTTTATACAATTATCTGTAGTGAAAATCTGAGCAAAAAGTGCTAGTTTGGAAAAATGCTATGACTTGACTACAGTAACAACTTGTATTTTAACTAACATTTTGCAAATAATGCAAAAGTAAAATATGCTATGGCTCCTTGTTTGTTTATTATTGATCTGCTACAGCTAGCAGGAACCAAACTAGGAAGAGATGCTTCTTTCAACAGTATCTCATTCTGATGTATGTGGTCCAATCTTATAGCAGTGGAACTGATCTCTAAATGGGTTTTAGTCTAACAGTTATGGAGCTAAGCTCGCTCTCATGGGAAGAAAGATAGTGCAGTCAATTCTGTGCATACTCACACACCAGCTAGAAGTTGGACAAATAAAATGGGTACTCCGAAGTGAGTGTTCCAGCTTTCTAGTAGCTCTGACTAGATCTTTTAGAGCTGTAGTGATTTTTACAAATCGATGCTGATCTTAACCATTTTGAGAATGGAGTGTATATGTAGGGTACATTAAGCATAACATTTCCAATTAAGGTATGCTTTGTGGGAAATATTAAGACAAGAATACAGCTATTGTGTAACAAATAACCTAATAAAACATTAAAAACTGTAGACACATTTCATGGTTATTTAGTAAACTGAGAATTGAAAGAATTTAGGCCAGAAAGTCAATCTGAAAACATAATAGCTGTATGAGAATCTTTGCAATCCAGTGAATAACCGTATTTTTTCTGGAGTGCATTTGGCTTAATGGGTTGCAGGATCATTGTGAAGGTACCATTTCTCTAAGAGGAGTCGGCAACCTTAAAAATAAAGCACAAAAAAAAAAAAAATTTCCAGGCCACGTCAAATGCTCCACCCACACAAATTGTAATTCAACATTATAAAGATGCAGGCTTTGCACAGACTATGTAACTACTGCACATTATCATATATATGCATGAGTGCTAGCCAAATTTACCCAGTGTCACTGACAAACCGCAGATACGCTAATGCTAACAAAAGGAAAAAGCTACAGTTCAGCTTATGTCCCTGTCATAGCGATATACTGGAAGAATGGGCACTCTCACCCATGGCAAACGCGAGCAATGTATGGTTCATGTATACAGAGTTACTCTGCTGCAAAGTTCTAACAGTGGAACAGTCTGCGGGAGCATTCCATTGGTTTCCATGGTGACTGCTTCACTTTTAGAGCTTTGCTACAGAATTACTATTTACATATAACCACTTATCTGTCATGTAGGGGCAACCAAAGCCTTTTAAAAGATCAAGTTCATCATCCTTGGGGGAGTATACTGGTACACTGGGGATGAAAGAGGTTGAAATCTAAAAGCAGCCACAGGTTATATCCCTATATATATATATATATATATAAATATATATTCTAAATGTACAAATATATGCATGCAGGTGGCCATACACCGCTTCTGTGACCAATGTTGACCTACTGCCCACTCTCACCTTTGACCTTACCCTGCAGTGAGTTGTTAATGTTGCAGAGTGGTGGTCTCTGTGCGGTAGGTGCCAATATCAGAGCCCGGTAGTAGTGTTGCACTGACCGTTCTCTCACGCCCCTTTACGTTGTCCAACAGGCCGCCCGGCATGAAATATGTCCGCCGAAGTACTGCTGACGGTAGCGCTGCCACGTAACCCGGACTGGGCGGTGACTGAGGCGGACCGAAGTGACTTACTGAGGAAGGTTCGCAATGCTAGCTACTGTACTTTCAATAAAGCAGAACTTCGCAGAGGTGTCTCCAAGGGCACAGCGGGAATCCAGTTAGAGTGGCCATTTTGTCGGAGATCAGCAAGCATGGAAGTCTATGGAGCGGTCTCCGTAAATATGGCTGTACAAATGGAGCCTTAAAAGAGAAGCGTGTTTTTTACTCTAATGTGTACTACTCTACCATCCTAACCTGCCAGGCCTGACTGGAAAAAAAAAAAAAGAAGACAGTGATTTATCTATTAAAAAATAAATATGGCTATTTCTAACAGCATGCACAGTTAACTGTTTTTTTGGTAGCCATCCTATGTACATGTATAAAGATAGTTGTATTGGTTGTGTGCATTAGCTTTAAAAAAGGCACAGTTGTGACTTTTTATTCTAAATGTGACTTGCTTAAATGGATACTATAGGCACTTTAACATCTTTAACATTCATCACATTGAAGTGGTTATATTGTCTAAAGTCCAATTCTGGTGCTGCTAGCGTTGCCACTTTTTTTTTTTTAAATGCTAACTTGCATAATCAATTTTATATATGTGACATCACATGACACAATATCACCTGATGTTATGTAACATCTCAGGGAGAGATAATAAGAGAAAAATAAAAAATAGTTGCAAAGGGATCATTTCCTAAATCACCTATAAATACTTACAATGTGTGCTGCCGCCCAGGAGTGATGGGAGTGAGCGCAGGACTTTTTTTTTTGTATTTTTATTCACTTTTTGTATCACATAGCTAGGTTAAAATGCTGCCGCCCATCCCATGTGTTCCCTATTTAGGGTTAATACGTATTATATAGGGGTGTATTTAAAAAAATACCCCTTTCTGTCTCATTAGAGATATTTTTGCCAGAAGCTCAAGGAAGCAAGGTAAAGGGTTAGAGTAGGACCCATCTAGGGGGAGGGAGCTGCCTTGACGTTGGCAGATGGGCATTCCCTCCAGTGGCCATTGGAGTAACTAAATGACCTCCATTTGTTTAAATATACATAGGGATTAAGGAGAGAGCGCAGGTAGCTTTTTTCCTTTGGTTTTTACTATATGTATTGGAGCTGATGTATACTGTGGTCGTTGCTGCCGCCCAGGAGTGATGGGAGTGAGCGCAGGACTTTTCTTTTTGTATTTACTTACAATGTGTGTACTATGACTGTACGTGTAGCATTGTGTACTTGAAGCAGTCTGTGTGTATACTATCTGAATAAGTGTGTGTATAGTAGTTTGTGTATACCATTGTGTGTGTGTGTCTGTCATTGTCTGTATATATCATCTAAGTGTGGGTATAACATGTGAAAGTATGTATGTATCATCGTTTGCAAACCGCAATGTGAGTACCTTTCATGTATAATAGTGGTGGAACTTTTGGCTCCATTTCTCTCATCAGTTACCCAGAGTCTGATCAGAGAAATATACCGGCCATTACATGGCTGGTATTTTTTGCAATACTGGCACCAACCAGACAGCCTTAAATACTGGCTGTGTAAAATACTAGCAAGGTGGCAACCCTAGTGCTTACATTCCATTCACCTTTTTATAATAATTAAGTGCTAAATGAGAGACATGAGGAAGCAATAGTGCAATCCGCAATGGACAGCGGTGATTAGCTGAGAATGTCACATGATTGTTCATAATCTGTCTATTGCAACCTGCTATTGCTGGCATGAATTGGTATTGATAATGAAGAGTTTAAAGGGTTACTATAGGTATCAAAGCAACTTTAGCTTTAATGAAGCAGTTTGGGTGTACAGGTCATGTCCCTACAGACTCACTGTGCAATTCTCTGCCATTTAGGAATTAAATGAACACTATAGTCACCTAAATTATTTTAGCTAAATAAAGCAGTTTTAGTGTATAGATCATTCCCCTGCAATTTCACTGCTCCATTCTCTGTCATTTAGGAGTTAAATCACTTTGTTTCTGTTTATGCAGCCCTAGCCACACCTCCCCTGGCTATGATTGACAGAGCCTGCATGGAAAAAAAAACTGGTTTCACTTTCAAACAGATGTAATTTACCTTAAATAATTACCTTAAATAATATCTTAATCTCTAAATTGAACTTTAATCACATACAGGAGGCTCTTGCAGGGTCTAGCAAGCTATTAACATAGCAGGGGATAAGAAAATCTTAATTAAACAGAACTTGCAATAAAGAGAGCCTAAATAGGGCTCTCTTTACAGGAAGTGTTTATGGAAGGCTGTGCAAGTCACATGCAGGGAGGTGTGACTAGGGTTCATAAACAAAGGGATTTAACTCCTAAATGGCAGAGGATTGAGCAGTGAGGCTGCAGGGGCATGTTCTATACACCAAAACTGCTTCATTAAGCTAAAGTTGTTCAGGTGATTATAGTGTCCCTTTAAATCTCTTGTTTCTGTTTATGCAGCTCTAGCCACACCTCCACTGCCAGTGAGTGATACAGCCTGCATGAAAACAAAATGGTATCATTTTCAATTAAAGGGACACTATTGTAACCAGAACAACTACAGCTTCATGCAGTAAACTCTGTCCTTTCTGAGAAAATGCAGTGTTTACATTACAGCCTATGGATACCTCCACTGGCCACTCCTCAGATGGCTACTAGATGTGTTTCCTGGGGCAGTGCTGCACAACGTGACTGCTATTCAGTGTCTTCACCCTCTGCATTGAGACACAGAACTTTCCACATAGAGATGCATAGATTCAATGCATGTCTATGAGAAGATGCTGATTGGCCAGGGCTGTGTTTGGCTTGTGCTGCCCCTGATCTGCCTTGATGACATTCTCAGCCAATCCAATGATTTTCAATGCTTTGTGAAAGCATTGCAATTGGCTCAGAACAACTTCTGATGATGTCCGCCAAGCAGGCAGATCAGGGACAGAGTCAGCAGCAGCAGACTGGAATAAAGGTAAGGATAAGATTTTTCTATATTTAGGGAGGAACAGGGGGGCTAGATGGTGGTTTTAACACTATAGGGTCAGGAATATGTTTGTGTTCCTAACCCTATAGCGTTCCTTTAAATTCAATTAATTTTGGTCCCAAATCCCTCTGTTTTCTTTTCTATCCTAATGTCCCTCTTTTTCATGATCTCCATATAGTTTTTGTGTTTGCATGCAGGGCCGGATTAACATAGGGGCTAATAGAACTGAAGCTCCAAACTCATGCCCATGGAATAGGCCCATTAATGGGGAATTTTTTTTATATATTTCTAGTCTTCATGCTTTGTTTAGAGAGAATTAAGAATGGGAACTTGTTTGCATTGGTGCCTATTGACACCTCTGATGGCAACCACTCAGACGGCCACTAGAGGTACTTTTTTCTTTTTTTTTTTTCTTTTTTTATTTTTTTATTTTTTATAATTCTTTATTTTTGTGGTGGGAAGAGTCCCACTGGTTTTGATGGTAGCTTACATACATTCATTACATGTAGATAAAAGGAATACAAATAAAACCTCATATTAATAATAATTAATAATAAACATAATAATAAACATGGGTTTTTCTTGGTTGAACATGCTAGCTTCTCTAGTGCACTCAGTGACAAGTACTGGGAGGGGGCTGTAATAAAACAAATCTGTATATCTCACCCGCCGCTTATGTGGACTCATGGTGTGCAGTGCACTGTAACTCTTTGGCATTCCGTGTGGGTTCGAGAATATCGGGTTGGCTTCTCAAGTTAGCAGCTCTAGCGGGCTTAAGGTGTATATTACCGTATAACTTACTTTCGACTCATGAGGGCTTAGGGTTTACTCAGTTAACATGTCTTGCCAGCTGGTAAGCCGGACTCTGGATGTGCAGCTTGGAGTGTCAGGCTATCAGCCCCTTGGGGATTTTGATTATTTGGGTTAACATGCTGGCAGCTTAGGCACACCCAAAGTGGTCCGTATGACACTTCTCGTTTGCCCCCCCCTGTAGGGGTTAAAGCATACTGGCCGCTCGCGTGAGTTCCCAGGACAGAGTGAAAACAGGAATAAGAAAATAAAGGGCTGAGGTTCATCCCATTGGTGACCCTTATAGAGCCTATGGTGTAGTCCTTCAGTTGGGTGTGCTGATCTTATGTGGGGTCTTACTATGGCCACAGGTGTCGTTTGTAAACCGCTCATATAGAGTTAGAATACACACTTTAGCAAACAGCGGCGACGACACCTATAAAATTTGTGTACACTCCTGAATATCCCCTGTTCGTACCTCTAGTGGAGTGAGAGTATTCTAATGCTAGGTCAACAGAATAGAATAGCAGCCTGGTGTTAAATTAATAGTGTAAAATTTATGTCAGAGGAGCACTATATTGTAGGTCGTGGTGCTGAGCCCCGCATTGCTGTGGTTAAATCTGTGGACATTACAGTGACAGTCATTATTAATAATCAGGAGTCCCGACATATAAGGGGGGTGGCATCTAGTCATATGGTTGAAAAGAACCTAAAATATAACAATCTCGATATTAACAGTGTCTGCAGCATCCATGAGCTAGAGGGGCAGTTATTGTGTCTGAGGTGGTACATCCTGCACTTTTGTGGTATTGGTCCCTTCCCTCTGCTCCCTTCCCTCTTCCCCGTCTTTAGGGTGTAAAAGTGTAGAGCCTTAGGCCAGTAGGTATGTGAGTATTTAAAAAAATAAATAAATGAAAAAGCACTTTGGGGTCACTTACATGACCTTCATAGTATAGTTTTGGCAAATCAGTCTGGGCATAGAGCTTGTAGTCTTGGGCAGTTTCTTTGCCTGCCATTATCGTCTGTGTAGTTGGTTTGTAGTGAGTGTCACCTGGTGAGTATCGTGGGTTAGCCTTTTGCCAGTTCAGGTCTGTAGGGGATTGAGTGCTGTTTGCTCCTCTTCCCCTCCGCCCTAGTGTTGCTCTCTCGGTTCTCAGTCTCCTAGTTCTCGGTCTTGCCCGCCCCATCCGTGGGTACTTGTTGCTGCAGCTGGAGGGCCTGGATGAATCCTTCCGGGTTTCCGTCCGCAGACAGTGTGAGGATTGAGTCCTTTTGTGGGACCACTAGCGTGCCTGCTGCTCCCCACCGGTATCTGATGCCCTTGTCTCTCAGTTGGTGGGTGATTGGCATAAATTTTCTCCGCTCCAGCAGGGTTGTGAATGGGATGTCAGTGAAAACTTGCACGTGGTGGTTGTCCACGGTGACGGTGGGGGTCTTCCTGACTGTGACATCTTTGGTAACGGCTATGATGTCTCTCGGTGCGTCCGCTGGGGCAGTCGGGGCTTTCCGGATTCTGAACGCTGCCGTAATCGGCCATGTTTATCCCTCCTTTTTTGCCCCCATTGTCACTGCCACATTGTTTGCATAGGCCAATAAGGCCTCTGGGCCTATGTCTTCAGGAGCTCCGTGTATGCGGACATTTCTTCTGCGGTGGCGTGTCTCCATCGCCGTAACTGAGCGGGTGAGTTTTTGGAGTTGGTGTGTCAGTGTGTCCATTTGCCTTCTGGAGTCGGTCAGTAAGGTGTCTCTTTGGCCTTCTCGGGTTTCCACTGCCTCCAGGTGCCCCTTCATGTCGGTTACTTCTGTCCTCACACCGGCCAAGTCCGATTTCCACATCTCCCGGAGGTCTAGGAGGAGCTTTTTGATGTCGCCCTTTATTGAAGGTGAGTCGTCAGAGTCCGACGTCTCCAACTTGTATAATGCGGTGGCCGGGGTCGCGTTCTGGAAGTTCTCCTCCTCCATAGACGAGTCGGACTCGCTGGCGTTTCGGGGCCTACCCTGCGCCATTTTGGCCTGTGGAGCCTGCTGCGGCTTTTCAAAAGATCGCCTGATGTCAGGTTGGTGTGAGCTCACTAGGCGGGCGGCTTTCCTGTTTTACTTCCCCATCTCTGTAGGGGGTCTAATGCTTGTTACTGCTTGGTTTTTGGGTCTCAGTTTGGTGTATTCGTGGCTTTTTGGGTCAATTGTAGATTAGTGAAGCAGGAGCTCCACATAAAAACATCCTGTGTGCTGCTCTGCTAGCCATGCCCCCTAGAGGTACTTTCTAGTCCAGTGCTGAAAATAGTGCAGCATTGGCATTCACTGTCTATACACTCTGCATGGAGATGCTTGAATGCTCCCTATTGAGATGCTTTGATTCAATGTACCTCTGTGAGGAGATGCTGATTGGTGCAACGTGGCATTTTGAGCGGCATAGGAGAAAAGGTGAGTAAAATCTGACAGTAGTGTTTCTCTAACAAAACCACTAATCAATCCATTAAAAAGGGTGTGTGTGTGTGTGTATATATGTATATGTATATGTGTGTGTGTATGTATATATATATATATGTATATATGTGTGTGTGTGTGTGTCTCTGATTAAGTGACATGTCTGGTCACAAAATGTGTAAGGCAGAGAGTGGCTATGCAAGGAGCATCTGCTCAACGGACCGTTTTTCACCAAAGTGAGACAAGCACTTGTCGGACTGAGTGCTGGAACGCACGCCTGTTTCTGATCGATGGGACTTATTTCTGCACATCATCACCTTCTGTTTTTGGAGCTGCATCTGGACATTTGGAGGGACTTAGTTCCCTGAGAGGCGTTGACTCACCGGTAAATTGTGGGTGTTTTTAATTCACCTTTCAATAAAATAGTTTTTACACACAGAATACACTGTGGAATGTCTGTTTGCATTTTAGATCATACAGATGCTGATTTACTATATCTATATATCACTATCTAGTTTATGGTTTAAAGTGATTCATCTGATTAAGAAGATTTAATGTACTTTATTTACATTTACTTTCAGCTAAGTACTAAAGTATTTGGCAAAGAGTGTTAGATTGTAACCATAGGTGTATCTTTCTTGTAGTACTTAATACACTTTCTTGCTACACTGTTCCTTTTCTGTTACATTGTTGCATGCATATACTGGTTTTTTTTTGTTTGTTTGTTTTTTTTTTTTGGACAGCAGTGACTGATTACTGTCATTTTTTTTTTTTTTTTTATTATCCATGATTTTATGGTACTTCATTTAACTTGATTCTTATTTTTTGTATTGTATGAGTATTCTTTATTTCATTATATTGTATATTTTGATCAGTATTGTGCTCTCATCTATTTTCAGACCTACAACAGATTTATTGGATATCATGGACTTTGGAGATGGAAGGTCACATGGACTGTATATGCATAGATACTAGTATGCTTTGATAGGATAGGTGATGGAATTGCATTATCATTACATTCTTTTTTTTTTTTTTTTTTTTTTTGAGACTCCTGGGTGTCCATAAGGTAGCAGCTTGTTTTTTTTAATATTGTTTGGTCCCTTTGTGATGGGTGATTATTTTGCACATTTTTGGAGTTGTTTTGCACTATGCCATAGGGGTTTCCCCTGGAAGTATCTGTATAGCCTAATTTTTTTATTTTTTTTATTTAAATCTTTCTCTAAGTACTTGAGTGTGCATGGCTCTTCCAGCACTTTATTGTATGCTAAGAATTTTGGGATTGGGACATTCCATGAATCTGATGCACCCCCATGCATAAGTTCCTGGGTTACCTAGTTTTTCTTATATTTAGAAAGTGTGTAAACTGGTTAGCTCTTGCAGTGTTAACTCTTTCAGTTTGCACAATGCATGCGTTCAACACTGCTCGAGAATATTCACATGTGCAAACTCAAGGCACCAATGGACCACAGAGACACTGCAACATGGGAGTGCTGTGCAAGCAAGCTAGTATGTTTTTAAAGTGACTTGCATCTTCATCACTTTACAATTATCTTTTCTTTTTTTTTCAAAGCAACCAAATACTTTTCACATAATAATATACAAGCCAAAATAAAGAAAGACATGGTCAGATTGCATTGTTGGGCACGCCTGTCAACTGAGGGAGTTTCAGCCTCCACTCATTTTCTTCTTCCCACTTATCTCAGTTTCTGACCAGTCCAGTAATGACAGAAATGAGGGCATCACTATACAGCAACAAGAGAGAGAGATACCCGACACCGGGGCTTACACTACATGAATCACACTGATCATACAACTGTCTTCTCACCCCGTCAGATATTGCAAGGTGAATAGATCTTCCAATTGCATATGTGTAAGTGTGCCAGACATGTCCAATGCACTTTTCCAGCATTCCTAGGGATAGGACACTGCTTGGTTAGATCAGTATCCCACTGGAGTGGGTGTGAAGAAGCAGTGTAGTAAGAAGAAGCAGGTAAATGTGGAAAAAAAATCATAATGAACTGCTCTTTTTGGCCTGCAGAGTGAGGTAACTGTCTCATTTACAGCTATCGCTTTTGAATGAGACAATTGTCTCAATGTAATGCATGTTCCTTCAACATACATAAATTTTTACTTACCACCGCTGCATTATTCACCCCAGTAAATGCTGAAATAGTGCTTACTGGCGTAAAGGAACAAGAAAGTGTTACTTCTCTGGGAATGACAGTTCCACTTTAAAGCAATAATTCAAACAGATCTTGAAAATAACAGGGATTCGGCAACCAGCTATAGAAACCTACCAATTAAAATGATTATTCCCTGCGGCTCAGAGCAATTTCCATATTATTTGTAGTAAGTAAACATGTAAAGTACTGCACTTCGCTTAGATGTAACCAATCAGTATACGTATATTGAAGGTATGTATCACACTAACATTTTTAAAGGGTTATTCAAAGCCAGAGTCGCACCTAGGTTACATGGCACCTGGGGTGGAAAAGTATTTATTTAGGCAACCCCCTCAATCGAATTGTAAAAAAACATTTTTTTGGAGGACTCCCTCTGCACCCCCCCAAACTATCTTTTGTTAGAGAAATTACATATACTGACATTCATACATACATACATACATACATACATACATACATACATACATACATACATACATACACACACAGAACCCCAGATACAAACAAAGATACATGCATACACACTGCTTATATAACAGGGTTAAATATGCCTCTTGTTGCTGACATCCTGATGGTCCCTAGAGGCACTTTAACTGTGAGAAGAAGTCAAACTCAGTTCTCTCAGCTCACCTCCATTTCATTGGAGAAGCGCAACACTGGGCGCGGATGTGCTTTTTGTCCCGAATACTCCCTTATGAAGAGTCAGCTTAACATATTGTGAGGTGGCTTAAGCGGCTGCAGGGACAAGCAGAGTTGCTGAACATACAGATTCCTACCACCATAACCACTTCTAAAAGCAAAAGGGGTTATAGTGGTTGAAGTAACTGTTTAAAGACACATTAGTGTGAGTATTAGGGCTGTGGAGCTCTCTTATACACTTATATGGAGCTGCTAGAAAAGAGGAACACTGGGATATATAAGAGGGGAAAACTGGTTGGTGACACATGGGAGGCATGGGGTTTAACATCAGCTTGGAAATGTGCAGGCACCAAAAGTGGGAAATATGATATAAGGCTTTTCCTTGGCACTGATGTTATATATGTAATGTTATAGCCATCCAGGATTGAGTTGACCATTATTTTTTCTCTATTATAGACAATTAAAGGCATGCATAAACAAATTAAATAGAGACTAATCTATGATTATCTAGAATTTGCTCCAAACTAAAGGGTTCACACTGACCAGGAAGTGACTGCATATCTCAGCCAGTCCTGGTGCTTCCATTGTTCTCAGGTTTGATTTCTAATATTCAGAGTCAACCAATCCGCATAGCGACCTACAATATTTGCACATTTGAATAAGAAAAAAATGTCACCCTGTTAGAGTATATTTTAAATCCCTTGCTTTTGTACACCAAAATGGTACCGTGGGAAGTTAAGTAGCGTTTTAGGTGTCAGGATAGCTTTTTAAACTGCTGTCACCATTTCATACGCAGATGCTGAGAAGATTTTCATTAGTAAAAGCTGGTTTATGAACCTGGTTAACGAAAGTAATTGTTCAGTTCTCTAGAGAATGTGTGGCTCAGGTGCACAGGTTTTGCCTGTATGTTCATAGAGCAGGTGGATCTATTTATATCTGTTCTGTACCAAACTATCACATCTGTGTTTTGTACTCTATACTGCAATCATAATGGTGTTAAAATGACATGCCAAGCACCATAACCACTACAGCCCAATATAGTGGTTATGGTGCCAGGAGTACCCTTCAAGGGCCCTGCAAAAGAAGCCAGATTTCTCCCATTCGATATTGGGCTACCATCATTGGCAGAGAGCTCTGAGAGTGTTATTTTTGTGTATGTTAAAGGACCAGTATAGTGCCAGGAAAACATACTAGTTTTCCTGGCACTATAGTGCCCTGAGGGTGCCCACACCCTCAGGGTCCCCCTCCTGCCGGGCTCTGGGGAGAGGAAGGGGTTAAACACTTACCTTACTCCAGCGCCGGGCGGGAAGCTTTCCTCCTCCTCTCCTTCTTCCTAGCGACGTCATCGGCTGAATGCGCATGCGTGGCAGGAGGCGCGCGCGCATTCAGCCAGTCTCATAGGAAAGCATTCATAATGCTTTCCTATAGACGCTGGCATCTTCTCACTGTGATTTTCAGTGAGAAGCACACAAGCGCCTCTAGCGGCTGTCAATGAGACAGCCGCTAGAGGCTTTAGAGGCTGGATTAACCCTCAGTGTAAACATAGCAGTTTCTCTGAAACTGCTATGTTTATTTAAAAAATAAAAAAAATTAAAAAGGGGGGTTAATTCTATCTGGACCTAGCACCCAGACCACTTCTTTAAGCTGAAGTGGTCTGGGTGCCTATAGTGGTCCTTTAATCCTGGGATCTAGATGTTACATAATTGTGAATGCATATGTCACACATGACATGTCAATAGTGAATCTAAAATTGATATTATGTATGTGTATTTATTGCTAAACTTTGACAATTTGTTACGTACCATATTTAAACTGTTGTGCAGTATTCTGTGTAATTTCCCTATATAACCAGTAGAGGGAACCCAATGCATGTAAATAATAATAAATATCACTATCTGCAACAATTGAAAAGTGTTGGATAGCTCAACTCTTGGAATATGTGTTTTGACTATCATGTAAGTGTTGTCAAAAGGTTCTGGTGTGTTTAAAAATATATGTCTCATGGATTGTTTTAATTACATTTATGCAAGTTAATCTTTTCTGTTGTATATTATGTAGAATACATAGAAAATTATATTGACAGTTTTAGCAAAAGAAAGTTTAATCCACATTAAAATCTTATATTTTTCCATATGTATGGCTACTATGGCAAAAGATTTACGCATACCTCCAAATACTCCTGGATTTGGTGGGACAGTCTGTTTTGTGATATTGGCCTGCCCTCCCAGGTTTGTTACCTGTTGTCCCCAGAACAGACAGTGCAAGCAAATTATACACACTGTCGCTGTGAAAAGTAAACTCAGATCAATGAGCCTACATGGTTAGCGCCGGAGTAATGTATTGGAGTAGCATCTCTGTGTCCATGCTTTAAAACAGGCCCAAAGCAGCATCACTCTGTTGTTTTTATTTTTATTCTTAAATAAATTGCTGCCACTTCAGCGGAACTCCACTAACTATGTATTGGAATTGTACAACACTGATGTCTATGGAGGATCCCACGAGACTGCGGGATCCTGCGTAGACAAAACCTTTTCCCCGTCAGTCATCACTAGGTAGCTCTGCCTTTTTTTCAGGCTTAAAGGGAGACTCCAGGCACCCACACCACTTCTGCCCACTGGAGTGGTCGGGGTGCCAACTCCCATCACCCTTAACCCTGCGAGTGTAATTATTGCAGTTTTTATAAACTGCAATAATTACCTTGCAGGGTTAAGTCCTCCTCTAGTGGCTGTCTATTAGACAGCCACTAGAGGGACTTCCGGGTTCTTAATACACGAAGTGTTTTTTAAACTATGCTGGACGTCCTCACGCTTTGCATAAGGACCTCCAGCGTCACCGGAATCCTCATAGGAAAGCATTGAATAATGCTTTCCTATGGGGAGGTCTAATGCGCGTGCAGCCATGGCCGCGCATGCGCATTAGGTCTCCCCCGCCGGCTGACATCGGTGAGTGAGGAGTGTAGGCAGAGCCTGACCCAGCACCGAGTGACATCGGCGCTGGATTCAGGTAGGTCACTGAAGGGGTTTTAACCCCTTCAGCAACATGGGATGGTGGTGGGAGGGAGGGAGGCACTGCAGGATTTTGTAGTGGCCAGAAAACTGATTTGTTTTCCTGGCACTGGAGAACCCTTTAAGAGAAAGTAGTCAACTTTAAAGCCAGGACTGCAACACTGGAGTCACACAAGAGGGAGAATGCAGAGGTCACATGTATACCTCCCAAGTATCACTATTTAGGAGGGACAGTCCCTATTTTAGGCCCATGCCCCTCTGTCCGTCTTTCCTAAAATTAAAGTGTTCCTCTCTATATTTAGGGGATGTATGTATAATCATTAAAAACTACATGTACTCCTTGTATATGCAGGTGATTTCACACCCTATGGATCTATGAAACATGCGCTGTGCATATGTTACTGAAAGGTTAACCAATTTCCATGCTTTTCCTGTTGTGCCTAGCACAGCATACACATTGAAATAAAGATAGTTAGATTTTAAGAATCTTTTATTTAGCTATTCGCTATTTGGCTGTGCACAAATCTCAAAAGTTACAGTGCCCCTTTAAAAATTTAAACAAAAATTTATTTTAATTTTATTTCACTTGAGTTTTTCCGTAGCGTCCCAAAAATAATACAATTACAGTTATTTATATAGCCCCAACATAACCCACAGCGCTGTACAATAGTAATCGAAACAAACATTTCTTTATAACAAAAAAACGTATGACTTATGGCATATTACAAAAATATTCAGTAATATATATACTCTGCAAATAATTTATTTATAGATTCCTTCAAATATTGCATCAACATGCTAATTCAGTGCTTGTCTTTTAGGAACGAAGTAAGTTTTGTTTCATTAATATTCTGTGATATCAGATCTACTTTGCTGAACAAATGTGGCTCCAGACACAAAACATTTGCTGTCAAGAATCTATCAACAGATGTAGAAAATGAAGAGAGATTAGGTCATTCTGGGTTTAAGCTCATATTACAGGTTTTACATTTATTTAATATGGTTTCCTATTACTTAGCATGGTTATCTCATTAATGAGACTATTATTTTCATAGTAACAGTAAAAAAATAGACTACGGTATAGCAAGAGGTTTTGTTACATCACACTGGCAAAATATGCCAGACGTTTCTTAGGTCATATGAGGTTTTGATAAGCTACCAGTCGGGAATGACATTAGTAGTGTGCAAGTAATCTAATAATAAAAACTGTCAGCTATAATTTCAGTTTGGCTACTTTAGATTTAGAGGGACACCTCTATAGGCACCAGACTATTTCATCTCATTGAAGGGATCTGAATGCAGTGTACCTGTCCCTTTAACCCGTCTATGTAAACATTGCCATTTTAGGGAAACTGCATTGTTTACATTGCGGGGTTAAGACTGCCTTTAGTGACGGTCTCCCAGACATCCACTAGAAGCGCTTCCTAACTTTTCACTGAGTTTTACTTGGACGTCCTCACGCTTTGCATTCCATAGTTTTGTATGCCTAACACTAAAAAGTTATTTTAAATTCACTTGGAATTCCCAAGAGTTCTAGTGAATAACCATGTATGAATATGTAAGGATTTAAACAGTGAATTGAACATTAAATTGTAAAGTTCAGCCTCAAGGACACGAGCTGTGACTATGAATGGCTGAGTTGGGAATACATACAGTTAACCTATTTTGGCCTTAATTCAGGTTTCACACTATTGCAATTCACTGTTCTTTGAAAAAAAACCTAAATATTTAATAAAATGTACCTGAAAATGAACTACTGGTAGCAAAACTTTAAAAGTCTAGAATAAGCAAGCATTTTGTGTCTGTGTTCATTCCTACAGATTTAGTTTCTTTGCCAACCTCCAGTAATTGCTAGTTTAAAGCTGTACATCTTACTGGAATCCCATGACTGTTATATTCCACAGGAAAAACAAACAGCTGTCCAGTATCAAAGGAAATAAATCTGTGTATCCACTGCATCCACTCCACACACTGCATTCTTGTCAGGATGGGTCCTGTGGGCGGACTCAGCGGGAGGCCCTGGGGGCCTAGAACCTAAGCTGTGTAAAATTTCTGATGGCAGCCCTGTGCAATTAAAATATGTGTAATATGGCTAACAATCCTACCTGCTTAAAACCTGTCTAAAACACTTGTTAAATGACACATACCTCCAATGTGTCCCTATTTTGGGCCCAATTCCATCGGTCCCTCTTTTCCAGGGCCTCCATATTCTTTGTGTGTCTGAGTGTACAACAGAGCTCCTCAATGTCTTTGAAGGGTTAGTGTACAACAGAGCTCCTCAGTTATAATAATGTGTCTTTAAAGCGTTGGTGTACTACAGAGCTCCTCAGTAATAATACTTAGTAATAATGTGTCTTAAAAGTATTACTCCAACAAGGGCCGGCCCAAGACATTGTGCTGCCTGGGTCCAAAGATGAAATGCTGCCGCCTTACCAAACCACACCCAATAAACCACGCCCACATCCATTATGTTAGGCTCTTTTGTGTGCCCTTCTCTCTTCCCCCGTAAAGATCCTCTACTGCAGCGCTGTCCGCTTGATCACCATAGGCGTGCGCACGGGGTGTGCCGGGTGTGCCTGGGCACACCCTAATCCCCGTGGCACGCCTATGGTTTGAGTCCTGCAGGAAAAGCGTTCCTGCACTTTTTTTGAGCAGGAACGCTATTCCTGCAGGCACTCAGCGCCCCCTGTCTCACCTCTTGCCCCTCCCCCCCCTCTCTCCAGCTCAGCCGCGGTGAGGGAGCTCTCTGCTGTCTGCTCTCTGCTCCCTCTCGCAATTTTTTGTTTGTTAAAATATAATAATTTGTTCGTGTGTGTGTGTGTTTCTGTGAGTGTGTGTGTGTGTGTGTGTGTATATGTATGTATGTGTGTATGTATGTATGTGTGTATGTATGTATGTGTGTATATATATATATATATATGTGTGTATATATATATATATATATATATATATATATATATACGCACGCGCGCAGAGCTGGCGCTATCTGAGTGCTGGCTCTGCTCTAAGCCCCCATGGGCTGGTGGGGAGACCAAAGATCTACCTCACCGGCCCACAACAGCATGGAGGGAGGCAGGAGAGGACCCAGGGAGCTCTAGACAGAAGCTCCGCCAGGTTCCTCTCGCAATATCTGAGCGTTGCTGCGGCAACGCTCAGATCTCGCGAGAGTTAACTCTAGTCCCGCAGGCTAGAGTTCACTCTCCACTGGACCACCAGGGATGGCACATGGCAGCAAGGATTTACTAATCTGCCAAATCCCTCCAAACATACAGCACACACACATACAGCACCTACACACATACTGCTCACACACACACAGTACACTAACCGCACCCTCACAAACACACACAGCACCTTTAAAAAAAACACAACACCCTCACACACAGCATACTAACAGCACCCTCACAAACACACACACAAACAGCACCCTCACAAATACACAACACTCACACAAACAGCACCCTCACAGGACAAACATACACACACAAACACCCTCACACACAAACAGCACAGTCACAAACACACACACAAACACCCTCACATCACACTAACCGCACCCTCACACACACATCACACTAACAGCACACTAACAGCACACACAGCTCTGTGTGTGTGTGTGTATATATATGTGTGTGTATATGTATATGTGTATATATATATATATATATATATATATATATATATATATATATATATATATACACACACACACGCGCGGCGTGTGTTTGTGGTTTAGGGTGCACACCAGTGGCGTACACATGACCCATGGGGCCCTGGTGCAAAAATTGAGCGGTGGGGCCCCCCCCCCCGCGCTTACTTGGCACGGGTCGGGGTCACAACACATGGGGGCGGGCACCTGGTTGCAGGGCTGCGACCCGGCGACCGTGGTATGCACACACACTTAAAGGACCACTACAGACACCCAGATCACATCAGCTCAATGAAGTGGTCTGGGTGCCAAGTCCCTCTAGTTTTAACCCTGCAGCTGAAAACATAGCAGTTTCAGAGAAACGGCTATGTTTCACTGAGGGTTAATCCAACCTCTGGTGGCTGTCTCATTGACAGCTGCTAGAGGAGCTGCCGTGATTCTCACTGTGAAAATCACAGTGAGAAGACACTGAACGTCCATAGGAAAGCATTGAGTAATGCTTTCCTATGGGTGGTTTAAATGCGCGCGCGCGTCTCTTGCCGCGCATGTGCATTTCGGAGCTGAGAGGCGGACACTGGGGAGTCCGACGCTGAAGACACACACACTCTCACGAACAGACGCATACACACTAGCTAACAGACACACACAGTAACACACTCACTAGCAGACACACACTAACACAAACACACACACTAACACTAGCAGACACACACCCAATAACAGACACATTCACTGACACACACACTAACACACACACACACACATTTTTTTTTTCTTCAAATTTAATCCCCCCAGCCTCCTTACCTTTTGGAGTGCTGGGGGCATTCCCTGGGGTCCAGTGGTGCTGCTGGGTGGGTGGCCAGTCGGGCAGGCAGGCGGGAGCGCGAGGGAGCACTCAGTGAGGGAGCTGAAGAGGAAGCACAGAGTGTAAAGTGCTCCCTCGCGCGCCGGCCGCCCAGACAGCCCGCCCGCCGGGGTCAGCAGGGCCAGCCTCGGGGGGCCCTGAGGTGGCCGGCTCCTGAGCCCCCCAGGGGAAGAGGCTGGCCCTGTGGCGTACATACCGGGTCGCAGGGGCGGCCGGACCCCCTGGTGGGCCGGGCCGGTCGCAGCCGCGACCCCTGCGACCCTGGTATGTTCGCCACTGGTGCACACCCTAATGCAATAGGCTGCGCACGCCTATGTTGATCACACTACATGGATTGACCAGCAGGAAGCAGAGCACTAGGCGCTCTCCTCCTGCTGGTAAACCGGAACCCAGATATTGCACGCCTTGGGCTGGGGCACCTTAAAGGACCACTCTAGGCACCCAGACCACTTCAGCTTAATGAAGTGGCCTGGGTGCCAGTTCCAGCTAGGGTTAACCCATTGTTTTATAAACATAGCAGTTTCAGAGAAACTGCTATGTTTATCAATGGGTTAAGCCTTCCCCCATTCCCTCTAGTGGCTGTCTCATTGACAGCCACTAGAGGCGCTTGCGTGATTCTCACTGTGATTTTCACAGTGAGAGCACGCAAGCGTCCATAGGAAAGCATTGATAATGCTTTCCTATGCGACCGGCTGAATGCACGCGCAGCTCTTGCTGCGCGTGCGCATTAAGCCGACGGGGCGGAACAGAGGTGGAGAGGAGGAGGAGAGCTCCCCCCCAGCGCTGGAAAAAGGTAAGTTTTTACCCCTTCCAGAGCCGTGCCAGGAAAACTGACACATGGCTAATAGAAAGGCGAAGGGCCTGGATGCATGGCTAATGAAAAGGGAGTGTAACTACAAACATGGCAAACCGGATACATGGCTAGTAAAAAGGGGAACAAGGGAGGGTCCTGAAAGCATGGCTAATTAAAAGGAAGAGGGGTCTACAAACATGGCAAACTGGTCACATTGCTAATAGAAAGGGAGAGGGAGATGTGGGCTATAAACCCAGTCAACAGAAAGGTAGAAGGGAGCTGTAATCAAAGCTAAATGCTATCCCGAGAATGAAGAGGACTGAGAATCTGAGGTGTATTGGAGAAGGATATGTCTGGATAGGAGACACTTGAGAATTCTGTGCCTACAGGTACTTGTGATGTAAATCCAGCCCTGGCAAAACCTATCCTATACCATTGCCCCCAAGTCTATCACTCGAATGTCTAGGTTCCCCCACCTTCTCTTGGCTTGTTGTATAATGTCAATAATTATCTCCTATCTCATTCCCCCTTTTTCCTAACCTCCTCTATCAGTTTTAATTCCTAACCGCTTCTTTCATGGTGTTATTGCCTTTCAAAGTGGTGCCCAGTGTATATATATATGAATAGGCAACAATCAATTTCCTTGATGATTGTTTTCAAGCACCTGCAAAGGCAACCAACAGTCATTAAACAGCCTACATGATTGTAATGCATGTGTGACTACAATTAGCATGTGAATATGTTTATTCATTTATTTGTTGAATGTTTGAACAGAATCCTTTCAGTGGAATGTTATATTGTTATCTAAAGAAATAACCAATTGACAGGAAATTAGTATGTATTCGGTACAGCAATAGAGAGCTACAAATAATTATGATCTTGATCTAGAATTTTAACACCATTGCAACCAACCAAAACGTTTTTTTACACCTCATTTTAATACTTGGTTTTATTTCTACATTGAAAAAAAAAAAGATTTTACGATTTATAGTTTAAGATCAGTAAAATTACAGCTCATATTGCATTACATATTTTAACTACATCTGCATGTGTAGTGATTATTCACTGACATTCCATCACCGGTAACCGTGCAAAATGAAAAATATTGCTAATTATCTAGAAGAGATATCCATTACCTACCCTTATCAATCCAGACAAGGATATACATTTTGTTAAAAGTATGATTGGTACCTAATTTCCACTTAACTCTGATTAATAAAAGAGTCTGGATATTTCCTGTACTGTACTTATCTACAGACTTGATTGATTATATACATTAAAGGGACACTGTAGTAGTCACCAGAACAACTACAGCTTAAAGGGACACTCCAGGCTGCCAGACCACTCCTGCCCATTGGAGTGGTCTGGGTGCCAACTACCATTACCCTTAACCCTGCAAGTGTAATTAGTGCAGTTTTTCATAAACTGCATTAATTGCCTAACAGGGTTAAATCCTCCTCTAGTGGCTGTCTATGAGACAGTCACTAGAGGAGCTTCACTTTCAGTGTTTTAAGAGATGCTGGACGTCTTCACGCAATGCATGAGGACCTCCAGCTTTGCCGGAATCTCCATAGGAAAGCATTGAATAATGCTCTCCTATGGGGCGGTGTAATGAGCGCCTGTCCGTTGTCGTGCGAGTATGGCAATTGCCGCACATGCGCATTAGGTCTCCCCCGCCGGCTGACGTCGGTGGGGGAGGAGAGTTGGTAGAGCCTGACCCAGCACCGAGGGACATCGGCGCTGGATACAGATAAGTCACTGAAGGGGTTTTATCCCCCTCAACATGGGAGGTGGGAGGGAGAGGGGACCTGCAGTGCCAGGAAAACCATTTGTTTTCCTGGCACAGGAGAGTCCCTTTAATGTAGACATGGTTCTGATGTCTACAGCCTGCTCCTGCTCGCTTTTCAATGTAAACACTGCCTTTTCAGGAAAAAGGCAGTGTTTACATTGGTGCCTAGTAACACCTCAAAAACACCTAACAGCAGTCACTCAGATGGTCACTAGAGTTGCTTCCTGTGTGCAACACTGGCATTCAGACAAATTGATGATCTCAGCCATGGAGGTGGAGCCAGCTGTGGCAAGACCAGTGCAGCATGGGAAAAAAGGTGAGTTTAACGTTTTTACAGAGCGATCTAAGGGGGACCGGTGACCTAAACATTATATCAGAGTTTTGCTTTTTACATTTATTTCCAGATTTATTTTCTTTATCTAAGGTTTAAAGTAGATGTTAGCCTGCTATAGGCACCCAATCTAGTCGCAAGTCCTTCCCAGTGGCTCTGGGAATATATTTTACACTTCATTATCTAACCAGCTGCACTGTTATTACTTGTGTTGAAAATACTCACTAACACAGATCTACCTATAGTATCTTGATACTTCTATGTTATTTCTTTTGTGAGACTTCAACATCACATTTTCAATACAAAACAAAGTTAAATTAAGATTTAAATTAATTGCACCTCCATAGTGCAATTCATATTAGCCCAAAATGATAAGCTACTGAATCCACTACGAACTAGGTGGCATCAGGCATGTTAACATTTATTCTACAATGTACTTATTGGACTAAGTGTGCAAATCCCAGTTCACAAGATTAGTCATACTGTTAATCAAAAATATGTTATTTTAATTTGGAGTCTCAAAAGTCACATGACCCTCACAAAAGACTGGTGGGCGCAGGTATCTTAGACCATTCCTCTTTGTATTTGATCCAAACATTGAAGGAACACTCTAAGCACCATAACCATTGCATTGCCTTGTAGTCGTTATTGTGCCAGGAGTACCTTAGCACTGTTCCAAGGTAAGTGGTCACATCTTTATGAATAGTGTGACACTTACCTGGCTCTTTTGATGGCCTCATTCTGCACAGCTGTGCTAAACCATTAGTTCATGCTAGCAATGCATACGAATTTTGGGCAGATTCATTGAAAGCCCTCCCTAAGTTGCCTTCCAACTCTTGATGGAGACGTTCGATGACTGCATTAGGTATACCTATGTGATATGCATGTGTTGTAAAGGAGTTTGTTATATACAATATTAGTGAACCCTCACACTTCAACAATATATATTTTTTCTAATATTCTTTATTTAGTAAATTACAGAGAATAATAAACAAGACATAAAAAAACAATATAAAACATAAATATAAAAGAGTTGCCATGGTGGCTGTTTGCCGGTACAATGCATACTAAAACAGTTGTGAAATATTGTGTGGAGTATTGAACAAGCAATTCTTGAAGGCCATCATAGTACAATCCAGCAACCAATGCAGCATGTTAAGTAGATTAAGATCAAGGATAAATTCATTGTCTTTCCTCCACAGGAGTGGGTACATCTACAAGGGAAATCTCACAACCCACCACACTACAGCAGTCTTACATGTATTACACATACCAAGTTAATCTAGACCATGGGTCCTCAAACTCCGGCCCCCCAGATGTTGC